TCTAAATGTGATGCATAAACATACCATTTTTTGGTTGTAATTTAGTAGCTCGTAGAAAATTACGTTGAACAGGATCGATTCACAGCGACTTTTTTCAGGATATTTAAAAAAATAGTGTCAATTTGCCAAAAATCGCCGAAATTTGTCATTTTTCTGTATATTTGCCCACTTATGGTGATCCAGTTCAATATAAATCAATCTGAAAACACCTTTATCCGACTCAACTTGTTCCGAGCTATTGATATGACATCATATTTTAACTCAAAATGTGCCTCTGGACATTGATAGAGCAACAAATATATGAAAATCTCCTCAAATTTGGCCATTTTTAGCACTACATGAAATGTAGAGCTACTAATCTGCTTTTTTTTTCTAGGTCAAGTTTGACTACTCAAACGAATGTTGGTGAATTTGAATTATATGCTCATATTCTTTATTTGATTTAAAACCGGTGCACTAATGAAGATTTAATATATAACACTTCATATATACATAAAAGAGTCACATACAATTTTTATATTTTTCCAAACTATATTTTATCATACATTAGTATCATACATTTTATTTGTTTCTGGCATAACTTATAACTAATTCTTTTAATGAGTTTCGAATATATTGAATATTTGTAAACATGATAGAAAATGTACCAAATTGAACATGAAATCTGCATTAAAAAGATTCAGAAAGATGTAGACAGCTTGCATATTTATTTGTTTTGAACAGTAAAAAATGTAATGCAAAAGAGGTTGATAAAAATGCTGTTCAAGTATGAAAATGACTGTTGAACGGTCACGTTGACTAATTTTTACTGTATTATTTACAATAAATTGTCATAATTGCATAAAACAAACTGACAACTGATTATTAAAAGTAGTTGAACACTGCGAATAGACTTATAGTTTAAAATGCAACTTTTCGAGAGATGTGTTTTGAAATATTAACGATTTTTGTCTTTCTATCAATGTGTCCAAAACGCATAAATACGGCATCGCATAAGGCAATTATCACATAAATATCGCGCGATAATTTTCTGCTTGCGTTGCCGCAGTATACGATATTTCAATGGCCGTCATCTTGCGACGCTCGCTTGCGTTTGCTTTGTTATATGTGTAAAGCAATTCGAACGTGCGTCGTAAGACAGCTATTGAAATATCGTATACTGCGGCAACTTAAGCAGAAAATTATCGCGCGATATTTATGCGATAACTGCCTTATGCGATGCCGTATTTATGCGTTTTGGACTCATTGCTTTCTATCGATAGCCATCGTATTGAACGCTAAACCAGATGTTGTTGTGCAGAAACAGTTTACATTTGACGGCCTGAGAAGAAAAACCTTTCATACAAAACCTGTGCGCAGAACACAAACACAGAAATTTTTTAGTCAAAAGGCGAACAGCAAATTTGCGAGCGCAAAAACCTAATATATTTACAGCGAGCGCAAAAGCATAACAGGCCTACTTATACGGAGTTTGCATGCTAGTAGGATAATTTGAATCACTTTGAGTTACACCAAACTTCAAGTAAATCCCCTTGATCAATATCAGTTGACTCTCACAGAATTATTATTGTGATATTTTATTGTACGGGGAATTTTCAACCATAGGACTTTAAATGGCTGGAGTGAGAAGTAACCGGTTTCGGCTATTAAAATCAAAATTATCCGTATCAATTTCGTTTTCAACACATGATCAAATATTTACTTTGATTATACATATTGGTTCGGAATGGTCACAATTCTTGCGCTATCTAACGATAAGAGATAGGTAATTTTATGATTTTTGAATAGAGACGTTTCAGTAGTGATAATGGTGACTCAGTGTACGATTATAGTAAAAAATTCAATAAAAAAACTAAAAAATATGGAAAAATTATTCAAACTTTTTCGTATTCAAAAAATACTTTTCCAATCGAGAGACTTGAAACACTCAATAGAAAAAAATCTTGACGAATGAACCAATCCAACAACTCTTATCAACAATATCAATGATTTGTGTCTATATTCGAATAAAGAAATAACGTACAGTTGTTCGTTTTGCCATATAGTAATAATACTACATCAGCATAATAACGTTATTATGTTACTATTATATTATAAAGATCATGGATAATGAAAACGTTATCATGTGATAATATAATATCAGATTCGATGATGATGATTACCAGGATCTCAGGTGATGAAATATTATTACTGATAATATATTATCACGTGATGACGTTATTATGATCCGATCACAATCATACAATAGTATTATCATAATAAAAATAACGGTATTACTTTTCCGCAAACTTTGTTTGTATGGAAAAGTATTGGTTTTACTACCCAAAATTTCATGACATCTCCTCTTTCGGACCACTATAACGTCACGCCAATGATGCAAACTAGCTGTATGTGATATACGTAAAGCATTTATGTCACAACTAACAGCGCCATCTAACATCGTAATGGAATTATTCCAATGGATATTTCTTTTTTTATTAGCGAATATTCACTTAAAAAGTGCAAAAAATAAAAATTGATAGATCAATATGTAGAAACTTTTAATTTGTGTGAGATTAATATTTTAATATTGTAGGGAAAAATTTAAAATTGAAATTATTACTTAGTCACTTCACTTGTGTACAAAAGTTCAAGTTTTAGTGCTTTGGGTAAAGCTATTGAATGAACGTTAGCAACTTCACGTATGTTTACATTCGATGACAGCTGTCAGTGATACATTGAAATATTTACGGGGTTATAACGTAAATGATGTTTCCACTCGCGAACAATATTTATATAGTAATGTTTTCATAAATGTGCATAAATTCAACAATCCTGTGGCATAATAATAATTCCAGACATGGATTTAAATCTGTTAAAACTACGGTGATACTGACTGACTCAATAAACCGACTGACTCAGTAAACCACGGTTTTCAATGACGTTTAACAAATGAAGAAATGAATTTTATGATATTCTATCATTTTTGCAAGTATGCGATGAAAATTGTGTGAAAAAGATGCACAAAATATGTTGTAAGTGCTGTTTGTGGTAATCAAACATGAAAATGTTCGTGATCTAAACAATACCAACGATGAATTTTTCATGCCGCAAAAGAACGGCAACCTAACCTCCAAAGTTTAGCGGCTCTATGATTGCACCGACTCAATCAAAATATTTCATACTGCGCATTTTTTTCTCATTAATTTGAAGAAAATTTTTATTTGACCAAATTATTTTTATGAAACAAACTCATTAAAAACTCAGGTTTATATTTTTATATGAAACATATTCGAAAAAACCATGGGAGATTTATGTCTTGGGCGTTAGCACTACAAATTCTTCCAATAAATTTCCTAAGTTTCGGTTTAATGAGACATAGATATGGTTTATCGAGTAAGTCGTCAGTCGCATATCAATAATTGTTGTGAATCCAATAAAAATCAGAATTATAGAAATAAACTGAAATAATCATTGATTTCTTATGAATTTCCTTATGGAAATACTTATGGTTGGGCGTTAGCACTACAAATTCTAGCATTGATTCAGGTGTTAGCCTTTAGTCAATGTTCGATGTGAACTCAACAAAAGTCAAAATTACTGAAATAATCATTGGTTTATTATATCATTTTTTGCTTACTTTTATTTTCAGAAAATCAATGTAAAAATGTTGTTCTTTACACATAATTATACATAAAATAAAGTCTGCAATTCGAAAATTTGAAACTCCAAAGTACGCGCCATCACCACTGACTTTGACAGCTATGGGATTGAAGTATCTACCGTTTTTGAATTGTATTATTTTTTATTACGAAGTTAAACAAAATTTAGTTCGAGTTTTTCTCAATCAAGGAAAAATGCATATTCTTATGACTCATTAAACCGAATCAGAAATAAAAGCAATTGCAACATTTCAATTCGACGGATGGATCAAGCGTTTCGAACGTCTGAACGTTTGATCGTTTGAACGTTTTTTTAATGTTTTGAAGCTTGACCGTAAGCATCATAGCTTTCTTCTAACGATTGTAGATGGCGCTATTCTTGTGCGTGTCACTTAATTTGCCTCATTGGTCACGCCAAACTTCAAAAAGCACGTATTTGTACACTAGGCAATGTAGATGGGATGAAAACCTATCGTTCAAGACCTATCTGCCTCCAAAAACATGTTGTTAACTATGAAAAATGTGTAGAATAGCGATGTACGTATGGCGTCGTTCGCGTTCGCGTCCGAGTTTTTTGTTCGCCGATTATCTCAAAAAGTTGACAACATAATTGAGATCTGTAAAAGCCAAAAGTTTTGGCATGTTGAGACAAAGCTTCGGATTGATTTTGAGCCATATCCGATGTGACCTTGGGGTACCTCTCCTAAGAAAAACCCTCAAAAATGGTACATTTGTACGGGAAGTACCCGAAAAAAGCATTTTTCAGAGTTTCGATCAAGGCAAACTGCCATTTTTTTGCAAAAATAATGGGAGTCTGTGAACAACCGAACACTTACTTGCCCATAAATTTGGTCCAAAATCGACATTTCTTGAAATTTTGTTCGAAAATGACACTTTTGTATGGAAAATGGTCAAAATAGTTATATTTTAAGGTCAAAAATGCTATGAAAAAAGGGTCCATTGAAATTTTGGTTAAACATTAAGCGGGAGGTAAACTAAATTGCTGCGGAGCGGAAAAGTTTGGATTACGTATGTAATTCGTTTTATTGTTACTACGTTATTACTGATAACATTTTATTACTGGAACAACTATAAAATAAAAAGAACCACTTCAATCTAGATTTCAATATATTACCGCCGTGATTTTCACTTTGTGAATACTGTTTGATATTAAAAAAATCCACGACGATTTTATTTTGTTTGAACATAGTTATGACGCAATTAGTAGATGTTGTTTTGTTAAATAAATACAGAAAAAATCACTTTAATTGATATCTCAAAATCTGAGACTGATAACTTGATTGAAAATGGTCTATAAAAACTGGTGCAAATCACACTCTATCAACAGAAAGTCTTCACTTCCAAAAAAGTACTCGCATTTATTTGAAAAATGAATTTCAAGGTGTTTGCCGCTTTTGTCGCCATTTTTTTGATGGCTATTGCTGCAAAAGCTTTTGCCGCTTCATCAGTTGAAGGTGATTTAAATCATTATTTTATGTAAAAAAAAAATAAAATTCTTCAATTTCTACTCAAAGAAGATTTTATTAAAAGCATGTTCGAATGTTTTCGTATAGGAAACTACAACGCAATTACAATTATATCAGAAATATTTAATTTATTTGCAAGAATTGTTTTTATTTTTCTTCAAATATTCATTCTTGGATTTAATAATAATTTTTCTTCATTTCCACAGGGAACACTGACAGTTTGAATGCAGCCAAAAGTCAACGTGAAAGTCCACTTGTTCAACCACGCATCACTTGTGACATCCTCGGCTCTGATGCTTGGTGTGCAGTACATTGCATTGGCAAAGGTTTTCGAGGCGGATATTGCAATAAACAAAAAGTATGCGTATGCCGTCGCTAATTGAATTGATTCGGATTCGTAGTCATTCTTTGATATGTTATTAAAATCAAACTATGAGCTATTTTCCAAAATCACTTTTTTATTGGATAATAATTTTTTTTGTGAAAGTTTTTCTAAATGAATGGAAAGGAAAATAAAAATAAAAGAAATTGATCCATTTGCTTTTAAAGCGAAATGTTTACTTGGTTTCGTTGGAACTAAGACTGTTAATTGACTATTTCCTAAATGATTTAATTACTATTTCTCGAATTTTGAAAAAAGTAAAATATGTGGTAACGTATTTGATTGAAGGTACAATATCTTTCATCAGTTTGGGACTCCTAAGTGAGCTTATTCCAGTTTCCGATTTTTGTGAATTAGAAGTATAATCAATTCTGATGATATTAAAAAAATTCTGTTCTCCTTCTAATTTGCTTGGATTTCCAAATGGTGGTGGAGTTTCATGTGAAAAACTAAACTGGATTTACTGAAATAACTAATCTTACAGAATTTACATGAAAATGGCTTCTCTCTGGTGTGCTGGGAACGCATGTGAATTCTCAGACATGTTAAATCAACTACATTAGCGCTGCACAAGAAACATTGATAAAGACGAGCATTACACCGTCCTTCGTGCGTATCTCTTTTGTCTGCTTCTGTGAACGGTTTCCAGCATTTCGAACAACGAAGCAAATTTGGCTTTGGATGAGTAGCCTTATGTCCTTTCAGACTCAACTTACTTTTGAATTTCATTCCACAGACTGAGCAACGAAACAGACGTGGTTTTGCATGTATTGCCAAATGTCGTTTAAGATGGGTTTTATAAGCAAAATTCTTTCCACAATTCGTACATTCAAATGATCTTGTGCGGTTACTGCACTGGTTTGATCGCATGTGGCACTTCAAATCAGCTTTTCTGAAACTTTTGAATTTGCACACATAGCATTCGTATCGTCGACTGTTGCACCGCTGTTCATGTGAATTTTTCTCGTGGTCTTTTATGAATCGTTGACCACATTTCGAGCAGGCAAATGGAAGCTCTTTGACGTGAGCTCGTGTATGATTGCGAAGATGTATGTTCTGTGCAAACTCTTTCGAACAAATCGAACATTTGAACAACTTTTCTCCACTGTGTGTTCGAATATGTCGCGTAAAATTGGTCACTTCAAATGTGGAATACTCGCACTCGTTACATTCGAAAAGACGTCGATTGCTTTTCTTAGCGAGCTCTTGATTCAATTTTCGATGATATTTCGAATGATGGATCGTTTTTAAAGAATCGTGGATTTTTTCATGGCGATTCAAATAATCTCTCCTTGCGAAGGATTTCATACACACTTTGCATTCAAATGGCTTTTCACCAGTATGACCTCGAATGTGAATTGTAAGTTTTGATTTATGCAATGTAGTGAAGCTGCATGAATTACACTTGTGTTCCTCGCCCTTTTTGATAACTGCTTTCTTCGGGGCCCCAGCTATGGCTTCCTTCTTTCTGTTTATGTTTAATTCTGGACTGCTTGCATTTTCGTTTTGTACCGAATCAATTTTCTCACTCGAAATTTCACCGTCAACATTTGTTTCCCGCTGACAGTTCGGCTTATTACCGACAATTTTAATTTTCGGTTTTGATCGCATTACGTGTGCTGTTGCCAAATGTAGTTTTAGATGAGTCTTATAACTAAAAGTCGTTTCACATTTCGTACATCCAAATGATCTTGTACGTTTACTGCACTGGTTTGATCGCATGTGGCGCATCAATTCGTGTTTTTTGATACATTTGTGTTTGCACACATAGCATTCGTATCGTCGATTGGTGCACCGCTGTTCATGCGAATTTTTCTCGAATTCCTCTATAAAACGATGGCCACATTTTGAACAGTCGAATATAAGCTCTTTGACGTGAATTCGGGAATGATTGTGAAGAGATGTGTCATCCGCAAATGCTTTTGAACAAACCGAACATTTGAATAACTTGTTGTGGGTTCGCATGTGTTTTTTCATGTTAAAAAATATAAATGTGGAATGTTCGCATTCGTTGCATTGGTATTTACGTCCGCGGCACTTGGGTTCATGGCCGTTCTTAGCAAGTTCTTCATCAAATCCTTGACCACACTTTGAACAACGGAACGCAAATAACGAACCATGAGTTTTTCATGGATTTTCAAATGATCTCTCCTTGAGAAGGATTTCATACACATTTTGCATTCAAATGGCTTCTCGCCAGTGTGACTTCGAATGTGAATTATAAGTTTTGATTTTTGTAATGTAGTGAAGCTGCATGAATCACACTTGTGCTTCTCGCTCCTCTTTGTGGCTGCTTTTTTGAAAACCTTGGTGCTAGTTTCCTTCTTTTGATTTTTTGGCTTACTTCTTACGGAATGGCGCTTTTGCCGTTCTCCGCTTCTTTTGCTGCTTGTACTTGGCTAGGGGCTTATGTGTCGTACGAATCAGTGTGAATCAGTGCGAATCTCACGAGTCATTTCAAAACATATGGGCAACTGCACGAATCTTACGAGTTTATATGAAGATTCGCGAGTCCTTCACGAGTCTCTCATATAAATTGGCGAATCACTGAACGAAACTATGAAATGTCAACGAGCATGCCAGTTGAACTCACAATTCACTCAATAATCGACTACTAAATCAACTTTTTGTCATTAAAAATATTTATATTGTCACATTTTGACTGCAAGAAAATTAAAATTAATACAAAATTTTAAAATGGTTGGTTTCGAAATGTTTTTTTTATTTTTTTAAGGCAGACAATAATGTATTTGATGTTTTGGGTGTTGAAATCCCGAGAAAAAAACAGTCTTTGCTTGTCGATCGACTTTGGCTCTTATTTACATAGAGAATATCGCTGAAATTGGTGGAATTCATAAACGAAAATCGTGAAATGTTAGTTGAATCTATTTATGAAAATATTATTCCATCCAAATTTTTGGCAGCGCATCGAATCTTCATACGGAATATGTCAAGTTATATAGATCAACTAAAAAATCGTGAATTTGAACACAAAATGGATTTATCACAATTCCCGAACCCATCAAAATGCTTCATTCAAACAATTCAATCTGATGAAAATAAAAATGTCGAAGCATTTTTTTTACACTGAACACATTAAGTCATTCTCCACATATATGATGTATGGCAAATCTTGTTATAAATCATTAATGGTTGACTTGCCCATTCCAAAAATAAGTGCAGTTCGTATGTTTCATAAAACATTTCGTGGATCTTAGTTCCATTGTCAATTTAATACATTTCATTTTCAATTCACATCCATTCCAGTTGCCTATATTAAACAGAATAAGAAAAAAATTATAGAACACAAGCTGAGATCCGAATGGTTTGCAATGTGTATATAAGCTAATTTGCATCGACTCGCGGATTTGCTATAAATGCCATACACTTTCTATGCTATGACTTGTGTATATATTTGTATGAATTCGTTCGAGTCTTCACGAATCTCCGTAAATTGGTGCGAGTCAGTGCGAGTTACTTGCAATTCAGCGCAAATCATTTTTAATTTACATGAAAATCATACGAGTCTTGCTGACTCGTGACGACAAATAAGCCCCTAGGTACTTGGTTCTGAGTTTTCCACATTTTCGCTTTGTGTCAAATCATTTTCCTGATGCAAAAATTCACCATTCAACTCTATTTCCTGCTGACTGTTCGGCTTGATGTCGATATTTTCAATTTTCGGTTTGATGTCGTCTTCGTTTATACCCCAAATTAATCGAACCTGATCACGTATAGTTCCATCTTCGTAGTAGTTGACATCGGCTTCGATTTCAGTTTCGTCACATCTGTAGATCACTTCAAATTCTTCTGGTTCGTCCTTGATTCGTACCATTTTCGAATAATCAAAGTAGATATGATTGAGATGTTTCACGTTTGAAAAGCAATTCAACACTGACTAACCTTCACTCTGATGGCCCGATTTAAATAGCAATGTACTTATTTCATTGCAAACGTCTTGGAAACACAAAAAGGGGGATTAGGCACTGATACCATTCCTTATCTTTTGAATGTTGATTTTTTTTCTAGAATTTGACCAAAGATAATCTTTAATCCTACCGTGGGGTATAATCCAGGACGACAGCGGTCATTAGCAAAGTTATTAGTTTCAATAATACTAGTACAAGATACGCACAACTTTGTCTAGGTAAAGCGAATACAGAATGTACAAGTGTATCCTTGAAATGTTGCAGCTTTACTGCCACACCAAAAACCATGGAAAATTCATTATTGAGACATGAGATACATATATTTTCAAGTCTTATTTCGGACTTAATCCGTTTATCGCCGTCCAAAGAAAAGGTTTAAAAACATACATTCATTTATCGTACAGCTAAAAAGTTCAGAAACACTCGACGAAACCAAAATTTTATAAAAACAGACTCTAATATTTTCTGCGTATTCATTGGGGAAAAATAACGATTAATGAATCAGTGACAAAAGCGAGAATAGTAAATTTCGTGTATGAAAGTCTACGATTTCCTATTCTTTTCATCAAAAATAACGAATTCTATGCTTGAGATTTCTAGGTAATATCTCGAAAAAAAAAATCTAAAACATCAACCGCTTGTGGATCTATGTAATAGTAAAGTAAAGTATGGCTAAGATTTCTTCAAAATATTAGCAGTGTCAAGTTTCACCCCTTTTGCACTAGGTCGTTGACGTTCTAGCTGTCATATGTGCGAATGAGTGTATTAGTATTTATCACCGCAGTAAGAAAATCTAAGACTTATTTTTTTATGTTAATGTCTTATGAAAGAAAAATCAAAGTTTCACTCATAAACTGATGTTATTATTTAATCTATATTTTTTTGGTTCAACAAGTATAAGTAATTTATTGGTTTAAGTAACAAACTTGACTAAAAATCAAACTTTTCAAAGAAATTTTGAATATTTATTTTTATTTGCTGAACTTAACAGAATAGGAGAATCTTGCAGATGTTATCGGCTGTCAAATTTTCAAGGATTACCTCCGCAATAGCATCGCCTCTCTTCTCGATTGATTCACGGCACTTCCGCCGTAGACTTCTGTCAGGAATTATGGTGCATGCTTTATCAAGGGTTTTCTTTATCTCTTCCTAGAACATGAAATTTGAAGAAATCGAAGAATTGTTTATTGCAAATTGTAATCGATTAAAAATTTAGCATATACCTTTGACGAGTGGCTGTTCACCTCTTTTTCAACTATTTTCATTGCTTCTTTGCATAATTTACATTGAATTTTGCCCAAGAGATCGAATGCTTCAATTGCATCATCATTAGTCGTTTCAATCACGTGCGCACTTTCGTTTGAATCTTCTGATTTGATTGAATGAGTTGATCCTTTCGAACAAAAAGTAAATTTGAATAAAAATTGGACTTTTTCATAAGAATTTTGAATTGTAAACTTTTATTTGTCCATCTACACTTTCGAATGATTATTTACTTACCAAAAACTAGGAGCACACCAAGTACAACAATTATCGACTTCATATTGTTTTTCTAATGTAATTTTCGCTTGGAATATGGAATATGACCGAAACTACTGAATTGTACAGTTGAAACTAATTGATTTTAAAGTCGAGCAGACGAAATTTCGATTCATACCATCAAAACTTTATCGCGATTGTTTTCCGCAATCGATAGATAATTTCAATCATTATTAAATTGCAATAGATTGCACATATCGCACAGAGCATTATAAATAATTTTTAATAACTTGAAGATTGTAAACGAATAAATTCCCCTAAAAATACCACTTGAGATATAGACACGTTTAGTGCGCGATAAGAATTGCGCAGTAAAACGTTCGCTTCTCATATTTGAAAAAAGTAAATACCATCACATGTTGAAGTTCACAAACAGGAGCGTGAAATTCATTAAAATATGATACATTATTCTATCAATTTGAATTTGATGTATGGGAGTCACAAAGGAATCAAATATAGCATTCAATGCAGTTTATGCAAATTTGTATATGAAACTAAACACAGATTTAGACATATGCGGATTTTAATAGTATTATCTTATTACTAATCAATTGTGACCATATGTACAGCCAGCCATTCAGGAATAACTGTAATCGATTGGTGTGTAGTTGCCGAATATCATAGATCAATCTATAAAATTTAAAAGGTTACAACAGATACCACTCGATAATGTCAATTATAGAAGAGTTTAAGATTATTTTAGATGATGAACTTTTTTAGGTGGAATTTAATTGATGGTAATCGTAATGATTGTGTTCAAGACGAACATTCCGACCAAATGTAAATGTAACATTTTTATCTTACCGCATTATTCGATTTCAATTGCATCCATTAATTTTGTTCAAGTGCGAAATTCATAGCTGTTGGTTCTACTAGAATAGAACCAATGAAAAAAAAAAAGTTTAAAGTTGGTTTTTTTACTTCTCAAACACCTACATTTTTTCTCAAGTATTCATTCTAGGCTTATTTGACACACAATTTACATTTTTAATTATCATTTCATGAATTCCATTCATTCATTTTATTAAATGACTCTTCAAACATTGGGGATTCACTCTTTGTCTGAAACATATTCGTAGCGTTCAAATTGGTGATTTTTTTTTCTTCAGCTGTAAAAAATATTATCTGAAGTAGCTAGGGGAATTTCTTTATTTACAAACAATAGCCCATGATTAAAAAATCATTCATTGCTTTTCAATCGTCTAACATACGTAAAACAGAAATCCCCGAAATAATCCAAAAAACGTTCTCCAAATAATCATGATTAACAAAAGATTATTTCAAGCTCAACACGAATTAGCTATAAAACGCGCTATAGTTCACACGCTATAATTCATTCGTTTCTATTATTCGTGAGAAAGAACAATAAAAAAAAATATCATGAAAAGTATACTATTTGTACTCGGTATATTCCTTGTTTTCGGTAAGTTGAAATTAGAAACTTTCTTAAATTGTTTGGATTTTTATGATATTTATGCTGTCGTTTGAGTCATATTTTTGATCTCTAAAATACTAAATTGTCATACTTCGAAATAATTAGCAGCCAATTGTTCAATTTTTTTATTGTTCATTTCAGGATCATCACTTTCGATCAATTTGGACGATTCAAGCGAAAATGGACATGCGATTGAGAAGAATAATGCGGAAATGGAGTTAATTATGACATTTGGTATTTTGGGGAAAGTTCAATGTAAATTATGCACGGAAGCAATGCGACCAGTTGCAAAAGAATTACACAAAAACTCATCAAAGGTAATTGTGAAGTGCTTAACCGGTAATAATCAGCGAAATAATCTTGAATCATCTCTTCAAAATGTCATTTTTCAGGAAGAGATAAAAAAAGCCCTTGATAAAGCATGCACCATAATTCCTGACAGAAGTCTACGGCGAAAGTGCCGTGAATCGATCGAAAAAAGGGGAGATTCTATTGCAGATAAAATCGTTGAAAACCTCTCAGCCGGTGCTATCTGCAAACTTCTTGAATTCTGTTGATTCTTGAAATCGAAACTTGAGGTTTAATAAGTCTCTAAAAATATTACTTCAATTACCAAACATCTCTTTCATGTATTCAATTAAAGTTGAGAGTTCAATAAAAGAAGTTAGAAGTATGAAATGATTGTTTTTTTTCCGTTAGATTTGTCAATTATTCGACACCATATGTTCGTGGTTCTGGTTTTGATTGTGTGCAACTAGTGGGCCATTTGGAACTGCAAGCAATGTTGAAGCCCATGGAAAAATCTAATTTTACCATTTTTACAAATCTGTTGTTTGTCAAACAACCGATTATAATACACTTAAAAATTGCACGTAAGAGTGAACGAAATAGCATATGCTAATATTATATAATATTTCGGCGCTCGGCTACAACGGTCCTATTCTTTTTTACTTTGACAACTGATATTGAGCGCAAACACCACCTAGATAATCTAAGGCTAATGACAATACAATCAAGTACACTCTCCGTTCTGTCAAACGTCATACTGAAGTATAACATACAGACATAACGAATTCGCCATCGGTTCTTTAGATGGCGCTTCGGTCAACCGAGTCCCAAGCAAATACATGTATTAGTCAATACAAAGCATTCCACGTTTGCTCGGCTGTTTTCCATATATATGAGCCAATGCAGTTGAATATAATATTATTACATCTTTACGCATGGAAATATCTCGAGAACGGCTGGGTAGGACAATATTTCGTGTGCTCAATCCATCGAAATTCGCATTCCTTATCAGTTTGTTATCACTGATAGGCAGTCTTTAGAATAAAGGAGAAACATGTTGAATGGAAACATAATAGAGAAACATAAAGGCGTTTAAAATAAAAATGAATCATGCACAGAGTGAAAATAAAAGAGAAACATGCCCACAGTCAAAATAAAAGAGCAACGTAGCTATGTTTCACTTTTATTTTAACTCCGCGCATGTTGCAGTTTTATTTTATACGCGTTCTTTGTTTCACTATTATTTCAAACCAACTTTATGTTTCGGTTTTATTTTATGGGAGATTGGCCACGATTATTGTCACCCATTCAATTCGTCGTCCCTGCCGTTTTTAGTAAATCTCAAAGATTGTATCAATTGATTGACTTTATAGATTCGGCTTCTAATTTGAAAAACGAAAGGATATTTACTTTAGTGAGAAAAAACATGTTTTCGTATTTCTCGTAACTTAAAATCTTGATTTGGATGGTAGATAATATTCAAATGAAATGTGTTCGTTTAAGACTATTTTGAATATTTAGTTCCAATTTTGTCATATTCAAATTTTTGCATTTGATACGCGATTCGTTTTATAGGAATATGCTAAGTTGATAAAACTTCATTAATTGCTTGTTTTATGAAATCATAAAATGTATTATAATTTTATTTGTTATTGCAATAATCAAATCGATTTTGAGTTTAGTAAATTGTTTTTCGTTTTCTCATGTTGTCAACCTCCGTTTGGAACGCCCACATACAGGGAAGAAAGGTCTAGATATTCACTACGCCCAATTTTTTTTCCTGGAAAAACATAGGGAAAGTACCACAGTACATTTCAAATGTAAGTCATTTGACACATAGCAGTCAATGCCATCTCAATTCCAACTCATTGAATCATTGTATTTTTCGGCAACTTTTTTCAGACGTGTATGGCTTTAGTAGAATATAATCAACTTTACGGCGACGCTAACAGCTTCTCTGTGGGCCGGTACTACGCGCTAGCCAAAACGTATTGATGAGTCGCAATGGTTACTCGATGCATTTGCCAAAATACTATGATTTTTGTACTCTTTTCTACGATGTGTGTGCAGAGAAGCTGCTAGTGTCGCCGTAAAGTTGATTATATTCAACTCAAGCCACACACGATTAAAAAAAGTTGCTCGAAATATTCGATGATTCAATAAGTTGGTTTAGAGATGTCATTGGCTGTCTTCTGGTATTCCGGCAATATATTTATGTGAAAAAAAAACCAAAATTTTGTCTGAGAAATCCGAATTTTGGTTTTTTTTTCAGGAAAAAAGATTGGGCGTAACGAATATCTGAACCTTTCTTCCCTGTGTGCATTGACAGACATCAATAGTATTTCCTAACTGCATCTCACACACGAAAAAAAAGAGCGTCTTATAAATTGTCTTCAGAATTGAATCGCAATTACAATTTAGATGCTTGAAGATAATTGTTTTGGTATTTGTCACGAAGACAAATCACGAACATGTTTGTTTATCGTTCACAAACCACAATGTGTATTGTTTTTAGTGTCAATCTAAATATTTCATCATATTATCACGGCTAGGGTAGTCGACAGTATCAAATTGTGAAAAAAATTGTTCTATGTTCGAGTAACTCGAATCGCCTTATTCAACGCACTTCCAAAGTATTCACGCACTTCAATAAGGAAAAGTGATTATAGAATGCTTATGTATTAATGACCAATAAATTGTTTTCGACGAAAGATGTAAAACGATTCGAAAGTACTCTATTATTATCAAATGTGTACAGAATTTAAGAAGAAATGTAAGAGGTAAATACACTCCATAGTCATACATGTCTTCTTTACATTCGACGTAAGCCAATGAAGTAAACACTTCCAGTAAAATTGGGTAATTTCTGGGAATCTGATGAAATGAAATGTTTGATGCGTTTCTCGATACGAAAGCTGTAATTCTTACGAAAACACTTGATTACTGTTTACAACACCGAATTGTTTATTTCTCTAAATTATTCTGAATTTTTGACTCATAACAGTGAAAATCTAAGTTAGGTACAAGTATATAAAAGCAAATTTTGCTTCTTAATCAGATAGTTTTGTTATAAAATGTCATTGCGCGGTTGTTTCAAAGAAAGAGTTTTCCAAATTCTATTTGAAAATTTAAGAAAAAAAACCAAAAGTGATTTTTTTAAATAGTCTCGATAGTTAGAAATTTCTTTACACGAAATCTGAACAAGGACCAAATTTGAAAAAAAAAAGAAAATATTCAGAAGATAAAAAGGAAAGCACTAGAATCACAAAATGTCAAATGCAACGGTTGCATTTCTGAAGGATTGTAAATATTATCTACAAAATTTGGAACTATGCAGCGATAAGGGACCAACATTTGGAAAAATTACGATACCAAGTGCTGTTATGAATGTCGCTTGTGTGTTTCCAATGTCACTGACCGTCATTTTGATGCTGAGATTTGTTGTGATCTCAGGATTTGATCTGGATTTAATTTCATCTACTTTCGCCATTTCAATTGGTGTCTCGCAGATGTGTTTCATTTACACCACTCTCGCCATCAATAGACGACTCATTTTGAGAACAATGGATGAAATGCAATATTTGGTTGATTACCGTAAGATATGAAATTAAATTTCAATGTCATTTTTCCCCATACATATTCTTCTATTATGATCAATATTTTGTGCTATAAAAAAGTTGAAATAACATTTTAAGCTGATGAACATTTGCTAAGCCCATTTTTCGTCATAGGATGTCAAATTTCAAGTCAATCCGTCAAAACTTATAAGGAAGCCGAAGAAAATAATATGAAATTGATTCGAAAAATTCGAAAGTTCGTGATTATAGGAGTATTTATATGCTATCTACCATCAGCATTCCCTCCAATATTTTACTTGATTTTTGGTTTCCCCACGCCGGATCTTTGGCTGCTTCCATTTAAAGTGCGTTTTTTTTTTAAATTTCAGTTATTTTCTTCATTACACAAAAAATATTTTTCTTTTACATTTTTTTCAGGGTGGAATTGCCAATGAACATACCTATTCTGGCTTTTATATTTCATATTTTGTGCAACTTGTTGCGGGATCCAGCTATTTGGCTATTTTTGGTATTACTTTGTCGATGCAGATCGGATTTTGCCAGTTTGTTAACACTTGCTCGAACGATTTGGAACAAATTTGCCTGAATTTCAATGAGATCGACCTTACCAATAACAAAGTAACAAAGACATCTTTGAAAGTGGCTATCAAATTGCACCAAGATACTCTCAAGTAAATTTCATTTTCCACTCGTTTTTTCAACACTCCCTCTCCCCAAATCAATCTTCCGTACATTCTAAACTTTTTAAATCGTAATTTTTTTCAATTTGCAGCATCAGTGAAAAACTGCAAACAATTTTGGCTGGGTCGCTCTTTTTCCAAATCGTAGTTTGTGCTACTTTTCTTGCATTTATGTTATTTTCAATCGATCAAAATCTCAAGGGTCTCACTTCAGACGTGATTATCAACTTATTCAGCCTTCTTTTGGAAATCATGTTGAATTACATTTCGTGTAACCATGCTCAGATGCTAACTGATCGTTCATTCCAAGTCAACCAGTATATCTATGATATATTGTGGTATAAATTGCCATGTGATCAACAGAAAATCGTCGGAATGATCATTAATCGCGCTCAAATTCCATTTCATCTGCACGGCTACCAAATTTTTACATGCTCCATGGAAACGTTCTTGAAGGTAACACCACTCTTTCACTTTGCTTCTATGGTTCTTATGAATAGTATGGTTCTTATTTTTCAGATGATTCGAGCATCTTTTTCGTATTTTCTCGTTTTAAATGAGCTAAAAAATGCAAATTAGAAAAAGAAACCCACTCACCATAAATTGTAAATCAAAAGTCCAAAAAATGGGACAAAATCTCAAACAAAAAAATCATAAATAAAATTTAAATACTTAATAAATACTAAAGAATGTAATGTTTGTAATATTGAAAATGTTTTTAAAAAATACAATGAATTTGTTTATAAAAAGCCATACAAACTGAGTTTAATTATTATGACTAATCAATTTTTTGGTAGAAGCTCCAAATCATAATTCGAAATCAATACAAAACGATTCGTTTGTACTCGCCATGAATTACGACGTAGTTTATTGGCCTTCTCCTTCTGTTTTTTAATTGCGTTGTCAAATATGGCGATGACCTTACTGTAACCTTAACAAAATATGATGGTAGTTATTAGTCACTTGGTGTCATGCCATCAATATTGTTTTTGATTGTGAAGTGACAAAAATTATTTGTTCAAACTTACGAGCATAATCACGTGGTGTTCGTCCCTTGTTATCTTTAGCAAAAATATCAGCTCCTTTTTCAATGAGAGCTTTTACTGTTTTCTCTCTGCCTGCAATTTTATTCAATACAATCATTGTTTAAACAATGTTTCTCAAGTTTACCTCAGGTACCTACCAATAACTGCAATGTATGAAAAATTATTTACCTAAAAATGCGGCACAGTGTAGTGGCGTCTTTCCCAATCGATCCCTTGCGTTGATTTGCGCTCCATTGTCAATTAAAACTTCGGCGCATTTTGAATGTCCAAGAGACGCTGCAGCATGTAACGCTAGAATTGAAATTCCCCGTTTGGAGTGAAACACCGTCCAACACATGTTTTCGCACAAGAGAAATTCCGATTGCTTGTTTTAGAGGACCAAAAACCAAGCACTTTTGCATCATTAGTTTGTTCGAAACCACGTCTAGATTTTTTTTTATCGACACATATAAGACAAAATTTAGGCTAAAATGAGCAAATCACAAACATGAGCTTCGATTTGACAGGTAAAGCAAATAATTTCTACCTTTTCTGCCTTTCAACATCTAGTATGATCCTTTACGAACATTTTGGGTACTTACATGACCAAATCGAGTGATGTTTTCACATATTTCTGGCCTCATATTCGGTTGGTTCGATTTCAACTCTGGAGGAATCGACTTTTGGCCAAAAATCCTTAAGTATAGGCTTTTCAAGGATAGTATCTTGGCGCAAAGTTTTTTTTTCTCGAAAATATGTGGAGTCTACCCAGACAAAAACTCTCAGAATTGACTTTTTGAGGTACCTCCCGAACAAAAGTAACGTTTTTCATGGATTTTACTATGAAAATATCAATTTTTGTTCGGAAGGTACCCCAAAAATACACTTTTTGGATGAGTTTCTTAGTAAAAAGTTATTTTTTTCGAGAAATATTGTGAATCTTCTCACACAGAATCTCTTGCAAATGATTTTTGAGGTACCTCCCGAACAAAAAATGATATTTTCATAGCAAAATGCATGAAAAACGTAACTTTTGTTCGGGAGGTACCTCAAAAAGTCAATTTTGAGAGTTTTCGTCTGGGTAGACTCCACATATTTTCGAGAAAAAAAAACTTTGCGCCAAGATACTATCCCTGAAAAGCCTATACTTAAGGATTTTTGGCCAAAAGTCGATTCTTTTAGAGTTGAAATCGAACCAACCGAATATGCGGTCAGAAATATGTGAAAACATCACTCGATTTGGTCATGGAAGCACCCAAACTGTTCGTAAAGGATCATACTAGATGTTGAAAGGCAGAAAAGGTAGAAATTATTTGCTTTACCTGTCAAACCGAAGCTCATGTTTGTGATTTGCTCATTTTGGCGTGAATTTTATCTTATATGTGTCGATAAAAAAAAATCTAGACGTGGTTCCGGTCATTCAAATGATGCAGAAGTGTTTGTTTTGAGGTCCTCTAACAAACGCAATCGGAATTTCTCTTGTGCGAGAAAAAAAGTTGAAATTTGTCGAACGGTGAAATCAATCGAAATGAATTGTTTAAAATAAGAGCACCTGATAAGCCAGAATAATCTCGTACATCAAGACTCGCATTGTGCCGTGCCAAAACTTTGATAACTCTGTCATGTCCTGTAAGATTATTTAGGTTATTTTTATAAACATCCTTTCATTCTGCACAAGATATCAATATTTCGATTTTTTTTCACGTGTATATCTCGTACCTTTAACAGCAGCCAATAAAACCATATTGAATCCGTTGACTTCTTTGTTCACATCAGCTCCATTGCTTGCCAACACATCGACTATATTGGGGTGGTCTGGGAGGGAAATTAGGAAATTGTTGTACTGTACATTATCCCTTGTGAAGTTTCTGAAAATTTCAATGTTGGTGAATACAAAAATAAAAAATGAATACCCATTCGAACGGCGAGATAAAGTCCAGTTTCTCCATCAGCGTTTACGCTGTTCACGTCCACACCACTAGCAATCAATTTATTGACAATTCCTAAATTACCTAGATTCACGAAAAAAAAGTTACATTTTGGAACAGAGACATTTTTCCAAATTGATAAAACTGTCTAATTTGCGAAACTTTGTAAACTCACCAAAGTAGGAAGCTTGAAATATTGTCCTTCAATGAGAAAAAATGATAGAAACAACACAACAAATAATCAAAATTTATTACAAAGAACCGAAGGATTTTGAACATTCTTTATTATTTTTCAAGTGAAGAGTAAAATTCTAATTCAAGTGACATGTCAAAAGCAAAAAAAATTGTTTTTTTTTCTTTCAATCAGTCATAGTTTCAAAATATGTTGCATGGACTTCTTGATTTATATTTCACGATTGAATGCACTTCACTCACCGACTTACGGCATCCACAAAAACGACACTCAAGCAAAGCACGATGAAAAGCCTCATTGTTTGCGCTTTTCAGAACAATAAAAATCTGAATTCAAAATGTTTGTAATTTGTAGTAGAGAAGTGAATTGGTTATGTACATATACAAGTAAAAAGTCACCTTATAACGTAGTATACCGTACCGTCCACCGATCACGAATCACTAAAATGAAACTGGATCATTTCAGAACTTCGAATGACTACGTCGAAGTAATCACTTCGATTTCTATTACAACCGAGTGAAACAACAGCTGAGTGTGTTATTGCTGTAGCAATTGAAAAAGGTATTCAATGATAAAAACGATGTGACTGAGGTTCTCTTAATTTGACACATGACCTTCAAATAGATGCCTTAGTATAAACATTATGCAGAGGCCAGTCAGTATACGACACCAAATTGAGTTAATTGAATAAACAATAATAATCTTAATTTTGACATACGATGTGTGCGAGTTGCCGAAATATTTGCTTATTATGAATCAAAGTGTGAATTGACGTTACAAAACCAAAATACCATCACTTGATGTTTATCGAACGCTGAAATGCACGATTTTCCATCATAATTATGAAAAATGAATGAAAAACCTTGGGTTTGATTTCGGAAATCGAAACATGTGTTTGGATACGTGGGAAACAAGAAATTGCGTTGATTGGAAATTGCTCATTTCGACAAAATATTTCCATACGCAGAAACTCGATTTCTCTGTTCAACAACAGTCGTCTTCGTAAACACGCTCGAACGAAAAACAAAAATATGCAGATTTCAGTATAAATGAAATCAATTGATGATTACTTGACGCACAAGCAATAATAAATCAATAAATATTATTTTCTGCAATAACTTCAGCACATTACCTTCGACATCAGCATAACTTTTGTAGCTACATATTTCGACCGGAGCTTCGAACTTATTTGTATGGTGAATAGGGCGGGTCGATTTGTAGGGAGTGAAAAAAATCGACCAAATACCTATGTCAATAATACTTTGTCAATCAAAAACAAGAAAAATGTTAGCAAAGAATTTCTGAGCAAAAAAAAGAAAGTTCATATTCTTTTTCGGTATTTTTTCAAACGTTTCTAAAATGTTATTAAAAATGGGTTTTCATATTAATACACTGGGTATATTTTTATAAATAATTGAAATATTTTTTAACCAGAATGCTTGAAATATGTACTCATGTACTTATGCATACTTTTAGCGCGTTCCGCAACGAATGACAACCGACTACGCGGTCCCCGTTGTAGTTTGACAGTTCGGTTTCATGGCTCTGGCCACCGTTGAATTGTGAGAGTATATTTATAAAATTGAATGTTCGTCTGTGTGTCTATCTCTCGTAAATGTTCGTCGCTTTTTTGAATTTATCATTGTTGTTATGCAAGCCGTTTGATTTCTCTTGACCTGGAAAAGGTTTTTAAAAATGCGGTTTGTTTTGATGTTCGTAATTCATTTTACAAAAGTTCGAGAAAAAAAATCTTTTCTTCTGGTTGTTATATGTATTGAAAACCATGAGTTATTTAAGTCGTTCATAATCTCTGGACACACGGCGATATCATTTTGATGTATTTTAACGGAAATTTTCAAAATGTAAAACATATGTTAATAAATTAAAATAAATGTTGTACCACCAACCAATTCGTTTTGAAAATAGTGAAAAGTTCGACTTGGCGCAAATCAAAATCAAACGAAACTGTTCGGAGAGATATTTTTAAAAACAAATCTAGCAATTTGCGGAGATGATTGCTCAAGTCGAAAACTCTCTCGCCAAAACGAGTTCCATCGAAATGGCTGGTGTTAATTTCCACTGTCTGGAATAAGTTTTCGAGTACAGTACGCCCTCGTAAATTAGAACTCGGAGAATTAGAATTCCTCCGAAATTAGAAGTGAATTTCGGGTTAGAACATTTGTATGGAAAAATTCTAATTTGCGAGGTTTCTCATTTTTGCTTGAATTTACATGGAACATAAACCGAATATCGTATAAAAATATAAAGAATAATGACAATTCTTGATAAAAATACAGTTTGCATTCTATTAGCGGTCAAGCAGAATTGATAAAAACAAGTGGTCTAATATTTGATTCGCCATAAGATTTGTGATTTGTGTACACCAATTATGTACACTTATTTGTATGTATACAAAATGATAAAATATTCTTTTTACTGTTACTCGGTCAATAAGAACAGCTGCTCAATATTCAGTTCGTTGAACATAAATAAACAGATAAGTGCATTTCTGCGATAGTCATCAAAAAATCGTAGTAAGTCACAAACAGATTACATGCAAAAATATAATCGATGAACAGATCGGTTTGGACTTGTTCAATCCGAGAATGCAAATGCGCAAAAGCAACTAACGGATTATTTCAAATAAAATCAAAAATTAATATTCCTTATATAAACACAAACAGTCATAAGTAATAAGTTTTGTTTTGACTCATTTTTTTTCTTCTACGTTTGTAAACAAACTATTTATCATCATTAAAATACTTGTAATAAGCATGTATCGCACGAATATGATTAGAATTATGATGTTTTTGATTAAACAATCAATTTCCCTTATCAATTTTGGTTTTGCTATTGGATTTTTGATGAAAATGAAAAAACCTCCGAAATTAGAATTCCTCGTGAATTAGAATTGCCCTCGGGACATTTCGATTCTAATTTACGAGGGCGTACTGTATTTGAATACAGATGATCTTGTGAATGTGGTAAACAGGGGATGTTCGAAGTAGCAACGGACCGGATTTTGATAAGAGATTTGGGAAAGTGCTTGCAGTTCTTTCATTGCTTTGGTCGTCTGATTATTGTAGTTCAGAATGTTTGATAACGCGTTCAATTCAATATTCAATTTATGTAGAAAAAAATATGTTTTTTGCTGTTTAATCTCAATCAATTACACGCTTTGTTCACATCGGTTCGAAATGGAATAGCACACGACTGAGATTCAATTCTAATAAAAACTTATTTCATACGATTGCTTGGAATATAACAAAAAATCATCATTGTATTAATTCATTCGTTCATTTTTTCCAAACTTGACGCGCTCATGGAGCTCCAACTAATTGCAATGAAATTTGCCGATGAGACATAAACAAAGCGAGTCACGATCGTTATCAATGAATGACTTTTTTTTGGAAAATAAAAGCAACGAAGTAAAAAATGGAAGTCCCGTCAAATAACATTTTTCTCAGATATCAGACATATACGTGATTCATCCATACCAATTAAAATTTGATTTTTCTTTTCTTTTTCTGTACTTCTGAAAATGTCATAATAAATTGAATATGAGGACAATGTGGCAAATATATTCATTTGATTTATACATTTCTATCCCAATTAAATCACAGGAACAACTGTTGTTTGTCATTCGATGAGACCACCCAGCTCATTGTTTGTGCATTCGTTTGCATTCATACATCACTTTGCAGAAAATCCTACTTCGAACAATCGTAAATAAATGAAAACATGTGATGATTGCATCAGAATTACGTTCTGCGGATCACTTGACTCGAAAGTTGTCAGCAAACGTCTTAAAATAAACATTAAATGCAATACATCCCAAACCAACTCTATATTCATATTTCAGCACAACACGTCTAATGAACGTCGTTCAACTTACCGTTCAATGTAATTGAAAGCATCGAATGATAGTTCGACAATCGCATGTTTTCCATTGCGAACGGTTTCAGATCATTCGTAATTTTTCTAATTTATAAACTGTGATAACAGTGCCTAAATTGAAAATGCCATCGGACGATGTTGTTTGCTTAGCTTATTTCGATTTGTGTTCATCATTTGAACCGATTTTGTAGTTTAAATATTCAAATTTAGTTCAAGCAACACATTCTTCAGATTTAACACACGTTCATTTGTTTCCAAGTGACTGTTGATCCAATGAGTTCTCGTTGATACGCAAATCAAAGTGATTCCATGAAGTGACACACAACATATTATTCATGTCATGAAACAAATCACGTCTCTCATCTAATTAATCGACTATTTTTTGAACGACTTCGTTGCTTGTGTTGTTTGAGTTCCTTTTCGCAATTTTGAGATAAAGTTGCCTATTTTTCATCAATGACTGGGAAAAAAAAATCGCGAGTTCATTTGATAATGAAAAAATCAAACGCCACAGAAAAAATATCAAATTCAAAAATTGTGTTTTTTATTCGCGTGTTGACGCCATACAATTTTATGCCTGCCATTGTTCAATCGTATGATTTCGAGCAGGCCAAAGAGTCGCTCATTTTGTTTTCGCAGACTATTTTTCGAAATTTTGTGATAAAGACTGGGATTTTTTTTTCTGTTTTGTGTGATTGAAATATTTTTCGAGTTCATTTTGATGCGGAAAAATATGGAGCGGAAGAAAAAAAAATATCATGATGACTTTTAAAAAATGTATTTTGGACGGCACTCAACGACTGATGCAATCGGATTTTTTCATTGCAACGTTTGAATATTTTTCAAAAATCTGAAGAAAAAAAACTTATACCAAGAACATAACAACATTTCCAATATTTTTTTTCTAGACGAATTTCATGGAAACATACGCTGTTCAATGTCAATCGATCGAAATTTTGTGGACGAATTTCATTCAATTATTTAAATTGAATGTCAATAATGCTGTACTTGAATTCAAAAAATTGATGAATATGCGAATGAAGGAGAAAATGTCAGTTTTTTCCAGAAGCACAATTTTTCTTGCATACTTGCAACTTGTTGAATTAAACTCAATGAAAGAATATAGAACTTAGGATGTGGAAAAGTGGCATTTTTATTCAAATAACTTAGCAATTATGTACAAAATATTTTTTTAATAAACCTTATTAATTGATTCTAATATCTAAACGATTTCAAGCTCAATTATAAGCAAAAAAGAGTCTAACTGGTGGTACATTGACAATTTCATAGCTGCGATCGATGTGTTTGAAGTATGGTTTCAAAAAGTCCAAGATTTTGCTTCTGTATTGATACACCAAAAACTTTCCGCCGGGTTTCAAAATGGATTTGGTGGCTTTGGCGATTTCGTCGGCAACCTTTGGTGGCATCGTAGAGAACGGAATGCTCGAGCATACATAATCGGGTTGGCCCAAATTGTGTTCACGTAGCACCTCTTCGACATCGGCAGCCGAACGACCGGAGGCAATAAGACGCTCGTCGTGATACTCATTTTTCAAGAAAGCGATCAAATCCTCATTTATCTCGAACACCAAGAGCTTTGCATCTTTGCGCATTCTTCGCAGAATTTCAATAGATATATTACCGACACCAGCTCCGTATTCGACGATCACTTTTGCATTCTCAAAATCAATTGGAGCCAATACTTTCTGCACCACGAATTGTGAACTAGGAAAGATCGCGCCCAACATTACCTGTCAATGAAAAATAATTGATGTTTTATAAAAACTGAATGAAAAGGGTTTCATTTCGAAAAATCGGTGAATGGAGTTCACTTCTGAATTCGATAATTGAAACTTTTTAATCAAACGTATTTAAATTATCCCCCAAAAAATTGATTGAAACTTACCGGTTCTTTGAGAAAATTCTTTGCGAATACCAAAACTTGCTTGCGTTTGGATGGTAATTTCGCGATTACGTTGCCTTTGTCATCGTAAATGAACTCTTCTGTTCCCACGGCAATCTCGAACAGTCCTTTGATAACGTGAAAAGCGTAAAACGCGAATTTCGACATCACTTCCAAAGCCATTTTTCACTTGAAATATTTTATAAGCACTCTTCAGTTTTCAGCTAAAATAATTCACACAGAGTTCTTAATCGAAATATGTTTCGCGCGTACTTTTCAACGGTCAGATTTAAATTGGAGCCTTGTTCCACTTACCACCGTTTTTATAGCGTATGTTGATTACGCTGAAAAAATACATTTTTTTAATCAGTTCCATTTTTTCTAATCGGTTAAACAAAATTTTGAGTCACACAATGAGTTGACGATTTCGCGTGAGATCGGTCGCATTGCGAAACTACGGATGATCGCAAGTGTATTTTGATCAATTCAAACGAAGATGTTAATAGGATTTAACGACAGCACAAAACTTTCAAACATTTCAAATTCCGTTTCATTCGAAATGACGGTCATCAACTTTTGGGCGTAATAGTACAATTCAGAGTTGTTTGTTAAATAATTGCCAATTTTGACTCTATTTTTTCTGTTCAAGTTTTTATTTTATGAATTGTACATATTTTTCGCAATTAAAAAGAAAAAAAGAAAGTTTGGTTCAATGGTTGGATTTACTAAATAATTTACTAAAACTATTGTGTTTTTGGGCCAAAGTAAAACTAAAATGTGAAAAAAACAATTGAGTCTGAATGTTTGATGTATACGTCATTTGGTGATGTTGAAATTTTGAGGATTTTGATAAGAAGTTTTTTTTGACTTTTGTCAAAATTTTCACAATAGACATTTTGATTAAGGTCGGAAAGATTATATACAAATAATCCAATAACACTTGAAAACTAAATAAATAATATATCACAATTTGTAACAATTTTGAATGGAAATATGAAAATATGAAAATATCATGATGTCGGTAGCTTCTTCATCGGAATGATATTCACTTTGGTTTTTGTCGAAAGCACATCATATATGGATTTGTTGAAACGCAAAATTCTAAATGAACCAAAGCCACGATCACTAGAGTTGCAAGTGTTGGTAATCAATTGAATTTCGGCATCAAGGTAGAAAGCCCACATAAGCGGTTTAAACAGACGTTCCACATTGGTGTAGTTTTCTCCATCCAAACTATTGACTTTGATGTACATGTTGCCATTATGCGAAAACCTCATGCTTTCTATTCGCCCGGGCATACAATGACCTTTTGCTAATGGGATGGGGACAAAAAATAGAACATTTTAATAAAAGCATGGAAGAATAGTGGATCAATTTTCTCACAATCATTCTGAGGCAACCTACTATACCACTGATTCCGCCCTGTGAAAAAAAAACGAAAAATTCACCCGGCGAAATGTTTTTCATTTCATGCGAACTGTGTACCTTTATTGAACCACTCATGTATATATTTGAGGCTATCACCTACACTATTGAAGTACTGGCAATTTACAACGCTGATTACCAACAAAATCACAAATAAGTCCAGTTTGATCGTCATTTTCTAAATCAAAAGAAAAAAAGTTCGAAGTCTAATCAGTACAAAAATGTTGAATAAAAATTCAACTAAGCAAAATGATTTTGAAATGATTAAAAAACTAGATATCGAAAAGGCACTTTTTAAGAAAATATTTCAATTTTCTTCTAAAATTAAAAAAAAAACTCACTGTTTGTTCAGAGAAATTTTATGAAATCAGGAGAAACACACGGTTGAAAATCGATTTAAATACTGTTACTTTCCTAAATGTTGTATGACCTTAAATATATTGAAAACGTTTCCCACCCACACGATCCAGTAAAGCAGAGCATTTTGTTACTGTAGTCATTGACTGCGCAAGGCACATTCCAAAACAATGAAACAAACTGAAAACAAACCGATGAACGATGACGTTAGTTCCATGTTGTTTCAAAGGAAATACTATAGTCATCTCTACAGCATGTGTAAAACAATTTCATTTGTCACATTTTTTTTTGGGATTTCATGGAAATTTCATGAAACGAATGAATTTCGTCATTATTTTTTTAAAAAAAGAATTCGGAATGATTTATATGTAAAATATCTGATGCATGCATTTTTGTAATGCAGCTGCAGCTCTTGCCCATTTGGGCAGTTCTAAATCCCAAATGGGCAGCTCAAAACTCAAAAATGGGCAGTGTTTTACTTAAATTTTCTTGAAAATGAGCAGCTCTAAAAATTTCTTAAAATAATGCATGATCTGATGTGATGACATCTTGAGTGAAAATTATGTTCTATCAATTGTATATACCAGAGATGGAGTGAATGTATATCAATGCATCGTATTATCTATACTGCGTACAGACAGGTATATATACATTGATATACCTTCGCATTAAATAACGCGTTCGCTGGCACCAAAGTATTAGCTGACGCGTACGGTCAACGCAATATACGTTTTAGCATATACCGATACACATTTACATACACTTGCGGTAAACGATGAACCATCTCTGGTATATACAAATTGGCATCAATTCAAGTTCAACAGATTTTGACTCAAGACAATCGTGATGAAATTCAAAGTGTAGAAATATGCCTAACTGAACAAATCATATTCGCATGCTCACAACCAAAACAGTCACATTTTCTATGAATGATTTAATCCTCGTTTGTAAGAGAATCATCCCTGATTATTTGAAGAGTTGACTGTTTTAGCAATGAGTGGATGACTGAATTACAGAATGATGAATCTTGCTTCGTTCAAAATATCTCGGATTTTCAGCATCAAAAATGCAAAAGGATCGACAGTGTAACAGTCAAACAAGTCTCTATATACTACACTTTACTTCAAGCGTTCATGCGCGCGTTCATTAGTTAAATCTCATCTGTTTGTCCACTATAGTGATAACAGTGATAATTGATAAAAGCTATCAAGGCCATTATCTCCTTACTGATAAGAGATAAGTGATGACTGTCTGCGACAAAATTGTAGCCTTCAATGAGATCTAAAACTTTGCTGAACAAAATTCTGCTCCGTTGATAAGGGGTTCGAGTTATGGGAGAAAAACCGAAAAAACTCAAAAAAATCCGTATAGAAAAATATCAATTTTTCCCACTGAAATTTTCTTCATTTCTTTTTGGGTGGATTCGAATTCTGCGGCCTAAAAAAACCATGAAAATGGCTGCTTTGAACAAAAATTTACTTTTGGTGGAAAAATACGTTGAAAAATTTGATTTTTTTTCGATACGTGAACACTACTAGAAAATTTTAATTCTGAGATTATTCGATTTTTGTCATCAGCATAGTCAATCTTAAAGTAATTTGAGGCGCTGAGTTCAAACTTGGTGTTAAAAATACACTTGGAACCATGTATTTTTGTTATATGGCTGAATTTGTTTTTTAAAAAAACAATGTTTTTGTACTAACAATTTTTTAAAAAGCAATATTAGCTATTTTTTGACAACGGATTCGTGTTAAGCGTCCCAAAAAACCCTAAAAATGATATGTCACCAGATTCGATTTGAATAACCTATAGGTTTTCTATCAATATATGTTGTGTCCTTGTTTGACATTTCCTACGTTTTCATGCACAGATTTTAGTAGAACCAAAATTAAAATCAGAAATGATTCATATTGAAGCTTCACTTCATTTTTACCTTTAAAGTTAAATGATAATTAAGTTTTGGAGACAAAATTAAGTGTCATTCATTTTTCACGCTTTTTCTAGAGTAGAATGATTGAATTTCTACATCTTTTTTTATTTAAAACAACAAAAATACTTTTCACAATTTTATTTCGCGAAAAAAATAAATAAAAATTCAACAAATTAAAATTAAACAACATTTGAAAGATAAAAATGCGTTTTTGAAGTATTTTTTCATTTTATGAAAATCAATCGTGTTGATACACAGGTTCGATTTGTGGTGATTCGTCTCGAATCATTTTGAACTCAGCAAAACCGCCATTTGATTTATTACATTCACTTGTATGAAGCTGAACCATGCTATGCGATGCAAATGCAAACAGAAGAGGTAATTGCATGTTTACAACGAATTTGTCCGAAACATGGTAGGTTTGGCTAAAATTAATCCCATTCAACTCTATTTGTATTTCACCATCGTTGAAAAATGTCATCGAGTTTATACGGCCAGGCTTACAGGCAGCTTCCGATGCGAAAGCTGAGGAAATGAACGTACAAATTTTGAAATATTCAGATTGTTAGATATATAAAGAAGCAAAGTGTTCGAATTAAAGTAAATCAGTATCTCAATCGCAAAGGCGTTGAAGAGAAAACATAAATCATGCTCACCAATATCGAATAGAAAAATAGCCAAAATCAAGCAGCACTTCATTGTAATTCAGACGAATCTTAACACTTTAACGAATACACTGAAAGAGATGCGCAAACTTCAAAACTGAATTATTCAACAGATTACAAGCCGATTTTATTCCATTTTTATTTTGTCCCCTCTCAATCCAATACGGGTTTCTCAAAGCATGATATGCTTGACATGGCAAATGAATTGAAAGTAAAAATGAAAAGTATTATCAAGAACTCACTACGAATTCACTTGTTCATCAGAAAATTATTTTTGTGTGAGTACATCGTGACTAAAAATATATTTCTTCCTTGTTCAACAAAGCAGACTGATGATTAATAATAAAAGTATATTTGCATGACATGGCAAAACGAACTTATTTAAATATGAATTGAAATTTTATCGAGATGTTGAGTCAACCATGAAAGATCATATTTCTTTATTAGCATAATCAATTTTGGTTCAAATTCGAACTAAAGAAGTCTTAGTAAATTTTTTATAATCAATTTGTCGAAAGAAAGGCTTTTTCTCAAATTAATTCATTAAGAAAATGGAAGTGTTTTATTTCAGTTTTAAATAAATTGTCCAATTCTATAAACTAATCGTTCATTGTCTATATGAAATCATGGTAAATTCTCTGAATTCTCTGTAAGTAGAACTACAATCCGTTGTGTGAATCATCACTTTTTCTTCAGAAAGATAGGCAATGGTAAGTGGTTCTTTCAGTTCGTTGTGAATGGTAAAAAACTCATCCTTAATATTGGCTAGTTTGACAATGACATTAAGTCTGTCTATATCATCTTTTCTGACTATCGAATACCTTATGTATTCGATAAATCCAGGCTCACACGATGGTGTTCCGAATGAAAATGCTGAAAATGGAACGATATGCAACTTTACTTTATCAATAAAAATGACAAGCTTTATTTAAAAAAACAATTCGTCACACTGAAGTGATACAAACCTAGAGTAGAGAGAATAATAACCAAGACAATGCACCAGTTCATTTTGACTTGAAATTTGAATGAAAAAAAACTCAAAATTACGAAATAATGGCAAATGGTACTGTTTGATGTAACGTTTGCTTTGGGACTGTTTTTTTGTTCACATTTCGTATAAATTTTAATGAAATTTCCAGGAAGTAAATATATACGCAATATCCGCAGATATGAAATAAATCCAAGCTATTTATGGCATACAGTGAATTTATCAAGCGTGTTCCATTTTTGAGAGTATGTTTGAATTTATCAAGCGTTCAAGCATTTTGTGCTTTTATCAAAAAAATCTATTCCGGAATTGCGCGCAGACAGTTTTTAAACATAAATGACGCATGAAATAATTTTTACTTACAAATAATACACTCTAGTTGATACATATTGTCAGTAGTTTTGGTTCAACATTCCACATGGCTTCCACCTTATATCATATGTTCGAATACATTTAGACAAATTAGAAAGTTGTTGTTCTAAACAAAAGCAATGATTCAAATCCAATATCGGAGTAAATCTCGTTCAGTTCTGATTTCAAATTGAGAAAAGCTACAATTCGATGGTCTGCATTTGCTACTATACAAAAGTACATCTGCATCGTTGACAAAAGCAAACAAAAGTGGATCTCTCAAAGTGAATCGATCCGTATAGCTTTCGGTGTTCATGCTGTTGAGTATTATGAACGTTCTATATTCAATTCCCCAAATAAAGTCGCGTTCATTCAATTCCTTATACTCTGAGTCAAGTACTCCATTTTTCCGATCGGAAGACGGTCTGCTCGCATGCGTGCTATGAACAATTTATGAAATAAGGAAGAAAATATATCATACAATTAAATTGTGACAAGAAAAGAATCTGAATAAATCCAATGTTCTAATTGAAGTTGTGTGAATGATTTCATTTTACCAAGAACAATTTTGTCACACATTTTACGCGTCATTTATACAAACATTTTACAAATGAATAAATAGAATTTGTTAGCTACAATCAAATCTTTTTTTTTATTTAACAAATAAATAGTGGAAAAATACTTGAACTGAATAAAATCAATATTTTTAGCGAATTAAACACATTTTGTCATATCAAATCACCGATACATTTGATTTCAATTTCTTAATGTATAAATTTAATTTTTCGCACTTTTAAACAATATATTTCACAGTGTTTCGATCGATATTGAGAATTTTAAAGATTTCAAATTTTTCTTTGTTTTTGTCGCATGTTTCCATTCTCAGTTGAATCGTTGCTTTTAGGGCGAACGCCGTGAGTAACGGTTGCCGAAAATCGAATTTATCACTAATTTTATATCTAATTGAATATAAGTGTATTGCTGAGCACCCAGTTCTTCGTTTTCATCATAGACTGTCTCGAATCTGATGTGCTCAATACATCCCGGCGAGCAGAAAACCAGCTCTGGGTCATCTGCAAATGCTATTTAAATACGGAAATTTATTGAAAATTAATTCCAACAATAAGCTAAATTGAATCCGATTGATCTAAATTAATCCAGTTTCCGTAAAGAATACGGTCAAATTCATTGAAATTTAATGGGAAGTTGTGGTTTGCATTCACTCACTTGTAAGTGTAAAATTCCGAAAGAAATTGGAATATCCACTCAAGCAGTCTTCTGAATGCGGTTGAATTTGTATCCCAAATGGATAAGCAGAAAATGCGCCCAGAAGAACCGGTTGAAAATGAATTATCTTTGTGTAGCATTCTCCTTCGATGGTGTCAACTTTTATGTATGTTTCCATATAAATTTGTTCGTTGTCCTTATCATTGTCATTGTCATTGCCTTTCGCTTCTTCGTCTCGAACAATCATAGGATCGGCATTAAATCTGATTCTTTCAATCGTGCCCGTCGGACAATTGGGTGCACTTGCATACACTGTTTAAATGAGAGATAAGCAAAAGAACGGATCACGTGATAACTTCTAGTTACATTTTCTTATCAAATCAAAAATCAAATGGATGTTTTCCACGTTTGCAATAAATATTTGTAACAGAACTGGATAAATAATCCACATTTTTTTTGTAGATTTTTCTAATTGCACATTCATTTCTATAATAATACACATACCAACACTGCACATTTCACACAATAGAACTAGGCACAGCTTCATCTCGCTTAAGGTTAGTCCATTAAAAAATTCGTTTTAACTTTGGAAAGAAAAGTTCAAAAGGAAAGTTTCAATCAAAACATGAACTGATCAATTGAATAAATGAAACCAAACTAATCACAGTTGAATCGCTCGATCAACTATTTATAAGCGAAATTCTTCTATTTATGTATATAGATCTATAGCCAATAATTTTGATATTGAGAACTTATTTACTCAGGTTCCATTTTTTCTTTGGAAAAATGTACTATTGAATGTTCGACGCAATTCAAGACGACTCGTGCAAAGTAAGCATACGAATAAATTTATCAACAGTTCCAGAGAATCATCATAATGTTCATCAACAGATCATCGATATTTCTCAATTGCATTATTTTGGTCCAAAAATAACTAAAACGAGAATCGTTCAACGAGTGGAAAATACTACATGTTATTGCGTATTGAAATGCGGTATCATTTTTCTTTCGAACATTTTAACTTTAATCAAAAGAAAACATTTTGAAATTTGCGAGCGAAACTACACATTGGCAATATCACAGTTGACAACATAACAGAACATATTTTAAAATACAAAAGTAGAGCGTAGAAGTGGCAACTTATCTTGTTATAGTGGTTTATTTGACGTAGTTTTTAAAAATTCATCAACAGATTTTCGGTTGAATGTGCAACAATAAATTTTATTAGAGTTTCTTAGCCATTATAATAGAACATAATACGTTACGTGGAATTCAGAATTTAAATAAGTATTATTAAGAGAAGGAAGGCGAAGAATAAGTGCCAAAAGACGACCACGAAGTATTGGAATCATATTTATCAATTTTCTGTTGGGGATGAGGAAGAGTTATCTTCGATAACCATTGCAACGCCTTTTTCTCCGATCATTCTGAAGTGGAAAAGTTCATTTATTTAAGAAATATTCACATTATAGAGTTTCAAAAAACAGATACTCACATGCTCGGGGCATTGGTATTTCCGGATGTGATTCTTGGCATTCTGAAATGGTAAAAGTGTTCAACAATTTTTTATGATTTTTTCTTTATTCTGTATCTTTGTTCAGTCAGTCGATCAACACTCACATGCTAGCATCGATAATCCTTAGTCCATGCACGCCTCGAACTCGGAGTCGATCGTCAACAACAGCCTCGTGATCTGAATGTAATCCGCTCATTTTACAGGTGCCCACTGGATGATATAAAGTGGCACTCATGTATCCAATGTAGCATTTCCAGTACGCATCCGTATCAAATTCGATGCCTTCACAATCAGCCAATTTAAATGAGATCAACTCCGCGTGTTTTGCTGAATACGATTTGCTTTTAACATAAGAAATTTGATCTCTAATAGCTTTGATCATGATGTCATAGTCCCGTTTTTTGCTAAAATACTTCGGTTTTATGTGTGGCTTATCTTTGATCGAAGTGCTTCGCAAATGAATGTAACCCTTTGATTTGGGATGCAGCAATGTCACTAAAACCGCCCCGATATCATGATTTTGATTCGCTTCCGTCAATTTTTTGGCAATTTCATAAGAAAACTGCCGTGTTTTAATGTAAGCTTGTAAATTTGGTGAATTTTTCGTAAACCAAAAATACATCAGTTGGATATTTGGGAATTTTGCGGCTCTGTCGGTATTGATGAAGGCACAAAGTGTTGAAATGCCAACACTCGTTAAGCCGCCCGTGTTGTGAATAGCCAAATTGAAGACGTTATCATAAGCTGCATTTGGATCGGTTGGCGTTGGATCAAATCGAAATAAAATCAATGTGTAAATGTGATCAATCAGATTTTTTCCCACCGGCAAATCGCATTTTACAGGAATTTTATGCTTTTCCAAGTGTTCCTTCGGTCCAATTCCTGATAACATCAGAACAACAGGCGTCATAATTGTTCCACCCGACATGATTACCTCTCTTTTAGCGTAGGCTTTTATCGTTTTCCCATTTCTCTTATATATGATTCCATAGGCTCGATTGTGTTTGTTCAACAAAATTTTCTGAACCAAACCATATTTCACAATGCGTAGATTCTGTCTATCTTTGACTGGAACTAAGAATGCTTTTGCCGTGCTCTGTCTTCTGCCTTGATAACATGTGCCCTGCACTTTTGTATATCCAATGTGTTCGTCGGCATTTATGTCATTTATAAACTTATAATTATCTTCCATGCCGGCGTTGATGAACACATTTGCAAATGGACTATCGCCGTAAAAATCGATATTCATCTCACCCGCATCACTGTGATAAGTGCCATTGTCTTGATGAACAAACTGAGGAAAATGATTGTTTTCCGACTTTTTAAAAAATGGCAAAACACTCTTGAAATCCCATCCTTTATTGCCCAACGCAGCCCATGAATTGAAATCATGCACATTGCCGCGAACATAGATCATTAAATTTATCGCTGAAGATCCCCCCAAAACCTTACCACGCGGCCAATAACAACTTCCGTTCAAGCCCTTACAAGCTGTATCAGATTCAGCTGCAAATTGCCAATCGAATTCTGTGCGCTGACTAGCCGAAAACATTGCAGGTATCTAACGGGACGAGATAAAAATGAAAAACGATGCTGACTTGAAAAAATAAAAATAACAACTTGCCTCAGACTCAATAGGTGGATCACCACCATATTCGACTAACAAAACTTTCCAACGCGGATTTTCACTCAAACGATTTGCCACCACACATCCAGCTGATCCAGCACCAACTACAATGAAATCCACTACCTCGTCATCTGTTTCCATTGAAAAAATTATTATTTTCCATTAATTTGGAATCCAAATTTTGGATCGAAACGTTTTTTCGTAGAAGTCATTCAAGTCAAGCGCATTGATAAACTGACAAGAGAATTGTATTTGAAAAAAAAAAATACCGCTTTTTTCAGCAGTCGGTCCATGATCCTTGGGCCAAATACCTGGCTGTGGAAGGGAACAATGAGCGGCAACTAGTGTCTGAATCAACTGAATGAAGAGTTGATTAGCAGGCCCAACACTTCGAGCTGCGCACTGCGGCAACAAATACGTCTGATTGCATGCAGTCATGCCCACGTTTTAATATTAATGAATTTTAGAACAGTTTGATCAAATGGTATTTTCTTCCGTATTTTCAATCTCTTTTCATAAGATTTGTTTTACTTTAACACTTATTTGCTATGTTGATGGTTGATGTTGAATTCCAGCAACAAGACCATACTTTTTCTTTGTCAAAGATTTAGTGTGTAACGTCTGTTCAATATCTGATCTGAATATAAACTTGTTACGAAAACAAGCAATATATGACATTAAAATTTGAGCTGAATTCATTTTGAAGTGAAGAGACGTTTATCACATAGAACAAATTCAGTTGAAATGTTCAAACAGATGTATTGACAGCTGAAATAAAAATATGTTACAAGTGTATTAAGTCAATGATATTGACCCCGTATTTCTGTTTGTGATCGTAGAAAACGTTAAGTCTTTTTTTTTTAAACTGCTACTTTAATTGAGCCAAACTGGTTTAAATTAAGCTGAAACTGATTTCACGCTTGCGATTATTTGAAGAATTCGTATTTTTCATGAAATGTTTATCACAATTGTAACAAAATAAAAATTTCCTTTTTATTCACTTTTCGTTTGTGAAATTTACAGTCAGAAATAGATTTACACCGCATTAAATGTTATTTACAGTTTTTGAGGTCATTGGCCTCCGCAATCAATACATTTTGTTAATTTCTTCATAGTAGGTTCAGACGTATTCAATTGAATATAAATGAAACCACTTTCGCCTTTAAATTTCAGTGCAACGAAAATAAAATCGATTGCCATATCAATGAAACAGTTGTTTTTTTTATTACCGAAATTATTTTTAAAATGAAAAAATAAACGAAATGCAATTTTATTATTTTTCTGTGTGAATTTTACATGTTTATGATTTTATTTGGATTGTTGATGCAAATTTGGGAAAGCTTAATCCAAACTTGGTTTCGATACCGGTAATCAATGGAACGGCAGCACGATATCCTCCGATATGATGGGCGTTGACTTGAACTTTGGCAGAGTCAAGTGTTGACGATGACTTTTTAACGTCAGAACCGGATGGCCGAGAGCCACCGAAATCAACGTAGAATAGCCGTTGCAACAATTCATAAGTGACCAATGTCACACCAAATTGCGGTGATGATCGGAATACACGGGCCACGGTTCCCTTCCAAAATGCGCCTACAAATATTTTATTTAATTTATCATTAAATCGAATATCGATTATATTTATTATTTTGTTAATTTCTCATACGTGGTCCTTCTTCGCGCATGATTTTGCCGGCTGCATCAATAACTCCCGTGTATGTGGTTTGACCTTGTCGAGCAGCCACTTGTAATCTCGTTTTGATTACATCAGCCGGTGTTACCAGCGAAGCGGCTGGAATACCTGGAAATAGAAAAATATTTATAAAAAATGGACAAAAATCATATTTCCTAGAATACATGTATCAACGAATGCATTTAGAGTATATTCGACTTATTCTTTTTTTAACTCGAAATCGGAAGAAGTTTTTAGCAACTCATGCAACGTTTCAGTTTTCTTTCTTTTATCCAATGCTTTCTTTTGCAGGTCTATATTTACCTGCGATGGCACCGGCGGCAAGCAAAGTTAATGGATGATTGTAACCATCTTCGTCGGCAAACGCAGCTTTAGTATGCGCATAAGCAGGGAAATAAATAGCTGAGAATGGTACATCACGCAGCAAGCACGCCCGGGCACCTTTATACAATCCAAACAAACCGAGCTCCTTGACCACTTGCCACGCGCGAACTTTTGAACCGCCAGCAATTTCACCGGCCACTTGTAGACGGATTTTTACAATTTCCAGCGGATTCGTGAACACAACTTGGGATGCGCCAGCCTTTAGAAAACGAAAAATAAAATTAATGATTACATTAAATGAAATGGAGACAATTTTCTCATTGACACATACGCATGCTCCAGCAATGTACTCGGCATAATATGGTAACGGACCGTCTTGCGGTGTCAGTTTGTCTCTGACAAGATCGTTGACAGTCAATTTTATAGCTTTTTCGGGGGCAACACCGATTAACTGTGGCACCAGACCACGGTACAAACCAAGCACACCTTCGTGTCGGATAACTTTTTTGAAGCAATCGATGGAATTGCGATAAGCCACTTCACCGACATATGAGCCCGTTCTTTGATTTTGCATACGTGTCTTAACCAAATCAATTGGATACACGGCCGTCGCACCAACAGCTGCAATAAAACTAATTTTTTTTAGCGAGTGTTTCAATTTAAAAAAAAATCAAATAACATAACCAAACGAGAGCAAACAAAACGCATTGTGAGGGAAATAAAGTAACTTCAATACATACCACCGGCAAATGAACCCAAAGTAAATCTGTACGCGCTCTCAAGCACTTGAATGAAAACACCTCTGTCGTCGGGACTGGAAACCGCTTGAATGTCGGTCAATCGTGCTGTTATGCTTTTTGTGTAATGCTCAGGCGCGATATTATTCAAATCATTATACAATAGTCGCCTGTGAAAATTTTAAAGGGAAGCATGGAGGTGAATATAGTGGCTACCAATTATTCAGTTTTCCAGAAAAATCGTTTTTTTTTTATTTTTATTCAAATTTTTGGAAGCATGCCACATCGAAAAGGGTTTTAAGGCCCTTAAATTAAGGGACAAACCACATTATTGAAAACCATATTGAATTTTCATCTGATAATTTTCAGAATGTTTGAATATTTCAGGTTTAGTTCCATTTTTTATGCTCATGCTCATGGCCTGTATACATTTTGTCTAAAAAAATAAATTCCATGCATTTAATTTCGATGTAAAATGCTGCCGATTGATTTCAGTATTCCGAATGAAAATTACGATTTTTCTGGAAATTGCATGAAATCTTCGAACAATTTAGAAGAGAGAAAAATGGGCGGAAAATTATCGAATTTTGATTGTTAAAACTTCTTACAGATCCGGGCTTGTTTTGTGAAAAAAGAATAAAGTGGAAGAAACACAATTTTCGTTAAAAAAAAATTTGTTTCATTTCAATAAAATTAAATGCAATTCTACATTCGACCAAAAACTTACCCTGGCTGATGTAAAACGCCAACCAATTGATACAGAATGTCGATTTCGAGTGGAGTGATTTGGCTCATGCGTTGAGCCGACAACAGAAGCTCATCTTTTGTGATTGTTTCTAATCGGCTGCCGCCGGTTGCATTTAAATAAACTCGTTTGATTAACTCCATATTGTTTAACAATGAATTAAAAGCCATAAAATAAGCAAAGCTCACTTTACGTCCTTCGGTAACCTGAAGAAAGAGAGCGAATTTGTGAAATTGTTTTTTTTTTTGTTTAAAAAAATTAATTCGCATTGACATTTTGTTTTCCAAAACTTGCTCTACTTACAGCAACTAAATTATCTTTAACATCGTGGGTGAGCAGGTGACTCTTTACGCTGACCATGATATCCAAGAAGTCGAGCGGTGAAATATAGCCAGTGCCATTGGGATCTTTGCTTCTAAATGCTTCTTTGGCGTGCTCTTCATGGAAATCGTGCAGCAATTGCGTAAATTCGGCATAATTGATTGCTCGTTTCTTGTCCTATCATACAGAGTGGGAAAAAAATTGATCAATTCAAATAAAACCAATGTGTGGACATGAATAAAATTTCATTAACAGCATACTTTTCCGAAATATCTTTGTACGAACGGTGATCCAAAATCGAATGGAATCTTGGCGTGCAATTCCGTTTTTTTAATAATTTCACAAAATTCATTGTAGTTGACTGTTCCGTTGCCATTTGTGTCAAACAGCTGAAAGGCGGTCTTGTACAAGGCGTCTGGTGTGCACAGTAATCCTTCGAACGCTTGGAATTCGGCAAATGATATCAATCCATCTTTGCTTGTGTCGGCAATGCTGCCCATTAAATTCACTGAATCCTGTTCAACGAAAAAAAAAAAATCGCATTAACAATGGAAATATTTCTGTTCATTTCTTTAAAGCGAATAAAAATACTTTTTTATGGTCAAATCTTTTGTTCATTCTTTTTTTCAAACGACCTTATGAAAACTGCAAATCATGCAATTATTTCATATTTCAATCATGTCCAAAAGAAAGGTCAAAATGTTCTATTTACCTTATTGAAATTTCCTTCTGGAAATAGCCTCAAATAGCCTCGAATGAAATCCTCAGTGGTCATGTAATATTCGCCATTCTGCTGATGTGAGGCATATCTATAGAGAAAGAAAATCACAAAAGAAAGAAATGAAATTAGTGATGGAACAATGACAAACAAAGTGATTGAGGCATACTTCAGGAAAATCTCACGCAACTTTTCAGTCGTTGCTCGTTTAATATGTGTTGGACCCTGTGAAATAAACAAATATATAACAAATAATGATATCAAAGTTTATATATTTTTTTTACAAATTTCGAGAAATATTTTCAATTTTTTTTAAAATTATTTCTGTGATTTTTTTTTTTAAATGTCATCTTCTGTGTTCCGCTGTATTCATTATCTTCATTTGAGTTGAATTAGTGAACAGAATAACAACCATGAACATTATCGTAGGCAAAAAAAAGTCCGAAATAAATGTGCTCATCACCACAGACAATCTCATTGCATAAATAAACGAAAAAGAAAATTATTCACTTGAACCAGAGTCGACATCTTTTTTTCCTAATCTTCCCGTTTCGAATTTCACGATTAGTCGAATTTCCTTCACTTTCGAAGTATTCAAATCACTCTTTTGTTTGTCTTCTTCAAAGCCCGAACACTGTGAAATTCCTTACGTAACAAATGCCTCCAAAACAAAACAAAACCGTATTCAAGCAATATTTTAATCATGTATAGTGTAGTTTGCCTGACTCGTTTGACTGACGTTGCGCGCCTTAATGATTAAAGTAGCTAATAGAGAGGGAGAGAGAGAGAGAGTCTAGCATCAAAAATGATAATAAAATACACACGATTATTTGATTGTATAACGATTGCCCCGGCTGATTTGTGTTATTTTTTTTTTCTTTTCTCGCTATTTTGGTGGATCTCTCGCCTTGTTTGTTATTTTCATATGGAAAAATATCAAATTGTTTGCCTGCTTTGTGTGTTTGTGTGCGTGAAATTGTTTTCAAGATGATCACAGAATGTTTCTATTTTTGTGGCTGAAACAAAAATATGAACTCAACAAATCGTTCTGTGTGCGAATACAACGATTGAAAATCACAGATTTTTTTTTCTGCTCTTCATTTGAACTCGACATTTTGATGTCACACGTCTTATCAATGTATGACGCAGACCGACTTCACATAAAAACCGACGATGGTCGTATTCTCTGTAAACATCGATCGTTTCTAAGAGCATTTGTTCACACGAGACATTTTTACTATCTCAATCAGAACAAACTCTTTGATTTGAGGGGGAAAAAAATGTTGTGTAGATAATGCAAGAAAAAAAAATGAAGAATATGCTAGGCATTGGCGTCATGTAAATACAAACTGTTTATTGCTCTCTTTGAATCCAGCGATTAAAGCGCTATTATTTATCGATTGTCGTGTGTGTGACGATGGCTCCCCCATGAAGAACATGACGAAAGCAAAAAAAAAAAATTTTGCCACTCTTTCACTCGTACCAGATTTTATATGACTTTTAAATTATTTGATAAAATATTATTATTTCGTTCAAGAAACCAATATTTTCTGTTCCACTTTGACTCACACTGTTTTTTTCTTCAATTATTCACACATTATTTGTTTAAAAAATTGTACATATATCATTTATAAAAGATCGTTTGTATCAACATGGGAAATGCATTGAGCGATTTCAAACACACACTTTTTGATGTATAAAAGCACTTGTTGAGTGTGCAATGTGAGATAAAAATGCTGAGCAAATGTCGGCCAACGACAATTTAAAATTTAACGACACTGAAAACTGCAGAATTTAGTCTGGCGAGTTCAAAGAGAAAATCGTTTAAATCGATAAATTGTTGGCATTTCTGCCGATTACGAATGCAATCTCCTATCTGCGTTGAACGTAAACGACGCAGCAAACGAAATTGTGTTGTGCAACAAGTGGAGTTTTCGTTTATTTATACTTTTAAACACAACAAAAAGTTGGGTGTTATTTGAGCCCGTTGAACAAGTGTTTGAAATTCGATGCGTTTCGGCATTACGTTGCAACTAGTTCAAACTCAATGTCAAACGTCTTGTTTCAACTCGGGCATTCACTTATAAACACGGAAGTTCTAAATGCACACGAAGTGGATTAGAGAGATAACATCAGAAAGGGGCGGGGATGGAAAGTTTTGTTGTTACCGACACTTTTTCAGCATTTTTAGACTAAAAGGGTTCAACTGAAAATTCAAGAGAATGAAAAACAAAAATTGTACAGAGAATTTCGTAAAATTACATGAAACTAGAAACTCAACGATACTTTTGTTGTAAAGCAAATAGCATGCCACTAACTCGCTATCAAATACAATCCTATCGCCTAAACGACAAACATAAACTGACCGAATTGATAAGAGTACCACGAGCACGAGGTTTGTGGCACGAGATTGGAATTAAATTTTGTTGCTACATATTTGTTTGAAAGTTCATCAAGTTCATTAAAATGTTCAGCATTCGTGGAATGTTCAGCATTCGTGGAATGCTCTGGACCTTAATGCCAATTGTTAGTAGAAAAAATTAAAAAAAAATTGATAAATTTTCTGAAAAATTGCCAATAATAGTCATATTCTACAAAATTTCTAGAATTTCTCTAAAAAAAATGTCGAATTTTTTTCAATATAATACAATTCTTTGAAATTCATTCCAAAAATTGCTTCATTTCTCTAATGACTTTACTCATTCGATTTTCGTTATTTTCCATTGGTCTAATCGGTTGTTTTTGTAAATTGCATTGATTATTTTGACCGATTATTTTGTATTGTGTCACTTATTTGTTTTCGTTGTGATTTTTTTTTATCATCTTCAAGTGAGACAACAACAATAACAACATAGACATGCTTTCGCTCTCGGTTTTCTTGCCATCTCTCGGCATGAATTCCATGATAAATTCAGCTTATATAATCAAGTTGATAAACACTTATCGAATCGAGGTTTTGTTGTGGGGCACTTGTGATATGGTTTTGGTATTCTAAATGCGATTTCTTCAGCAAGATGTTTAGCACTCTATCTAATTGCAGTCGATAACAAGAGCCTGTGAATGGCAAATAAAATCTCAATTATTTGAGAAATGAGTGTGATTTTTCCGAAAATAAAATGTGATTGTTGTTGTCTCTGCTTGAATGAGCACATCCGGCTGTGTGTGTGTTAGTGTGGCACGGGACTTATGTCAAACTGTGTGTCAAATGGTCATGCTTGTTATTTTGCTCACTCTCTTGATTCACTTTCATGAAGAAATATATTGGCACAATTGTTGCTGACAGTCACTTTAATTCACACACCCATTATTTTATTCATCGTAGAAATTGGTCACAGAAAACAAATTGAATTTCGCTTTTTTTCTCCTTCTATCTAATGTGTTAGTTTCATTACCATTGTAGCCGGCATAAAGCGAATTGACCTTGAATGAACCTTCTCAACAAATGAAACCTCGAACAAACAATTAGAACAACTGCAGCACTTTACTTATTTATAAACTGCAATGAACACAATGAAATCACACAAAATTAACTGAATATTTGATGAAAAAAGCAACAATTTTCCGTGGAAGTTTGTATTTTTTCACTTCTGTTCGTTGTACAGCTTATCAAAAATGAACCGAAGTCGAATACTCTTTTTGTTCGTGTTGGCGTTTCAATGTTGTGGTCGCCAGTGATAGCCAATTATCGATTTCTTCAAAAAAAATTGTTATCAGAAGGAAAAACACCAAACAATTCACTTTTTCAATTTATTTGCCGAATTCTCTGAACACTTCCAGCGCGTAAACAACAGAACTGGCACGTCATTCGATTCTCATCAACCAAATGTCATGCTTTTTTTTTCTTACATAGCACCAGAGTATTTGTATGGGCAAATAGAAAACGTGTGCTATGAAGGTTCTACGATTCGGATACACTGTTCTTAATTAGAATTTCACACATACTCATATTAGACGTCACGTTAGAGCGCTGAATACACAGTTTGTGAAGCATACAACTGCCGTACACTGTTCGTTTTGCAGCCACTCCATCGTCCCAATCGATTTCAACGACGCAAAATGAGACCAATACAGTCGAAGGCATGAACAGTACACAGTATAGCGCTCCGATACACACAAGCGTATGACGTAAGCGCGTTTGAATGTGTTTGCCATTCTTCACTTAAGCGGTTCCGATGCGCACATTGTTTCTGATCAGCTGTTTAACTACAGTCGTTGTCAGCCGCTTCGATACGTATGTGTGTCTATGTGCGTTTCGAGTGTGTCTTATACGATTCAAACAGAGAACTCTCCATCGTACGGGAGAATTTATTTTGTTTGTTCGTTTCTTTTGCAAATATAGAAATCGGATGTTTGATTGAAGACGATTCTTTTTTACGGTTTTTTTTATGGAAATGGTTCTTTGAAACTTGATATTATTTTACTGTCATCCAACCATTAGAGTAAACCAGTAAATTTTCATGGAAAATAGTGTCTATTTCAAAGAATCATTCCAAAAATTGATTGCGCCCGATAGAAAGTCTTCATTTGCATTACAATTGATTGAGTTTTGACTGTGAATTTGGTGTGAAGGAGAATCGAACAGCTTGCGACTTCTCTTGCGATGCACTGTACATCACACAGCGGCTGTAGAGCCTGACAATTCAATACATGCAAACTTCACTGTTTGCCATTGAAGCTATTTTTGTGGCGATTTCAATGTGTGAATTCAACTGAATGATAAGACCGTATGAATTGGGTATATACTGAATTTAGTTTACAATGTCGTCAGAAGTTTAAATTAATCTGTTCGCTGGCACGTTTTTTTTTTTATAATACGTTAACATGAAACTATCGAAAGTTTCAGATTAAAGCCTTTGACATGGGTTTCATAAAAACAGAAAAAGAGGCATAGAGCTTCAAGTTCTTTTATTTACTTGTTTCTGTAACATTTGTTTTTGATATTTCATTAATATCAACTGTAGTTTACTACAATTGCAAAATTATAAACTAAACATATAGATAATTATTTTGAAATAAAAGACGCATTATAAAAAGGATTGGACTTCAATGTTAAATTCCTGTATATTGCATCATTTCTTCTACCGTTTATAATTTATTTTGCTTCTATTTTCTTCGTTCTTCAGTTTGTTTCTTCTCTCCTTGTTTCCTTCTAACATCTTTTCACTCCTTCTGTCTCAATTGTCTTAACATCAAATAATACGTACATGATGCCCTGAAAAACTATACGAATTGTATTTAGTTACGAGTTAAATGAAAAAAAGAGATCACTTACGTTGGCAAAAACACCCAAATTTACTTCAAAAATTCCGGATCCCTTCAGTAAGAATGATTTTTCGGCCCTTTCAATGGCGAAAATTAGATTTTTTTGGTGCTGCATTGGTAATCTATACCATAAACTTCTTTGAATGATATGAGCGAAGAGAATTGAATGTTCTGTGAAAGCTTGGGCAGTGCGGTAGGTCACAAAATTGGTGAGCGTTTGCGTGGAAAAGGCAACGAAGCAGAAAAAAGTCACCGGTGAAAAATGTTGGATATTCTGCTCAATAGTTAACATCACAAAAGCCATAAAGATTACAAAATTCAGTGCCTGAACAAATAGCGGCTGGCTCACCAATAATCGAATGTTTTCAAAAAGGCTGGAAAATAAATAATCCCAGTTAATCAAGGGAAAGAATATTAGGACTCATTGTTTAATAAAAAAAAGAGTCATGCATCACTCTTTTGACTTACTTTGTCATTTCAGCATGCAGTTCAATGGTTTGATTCAAACGCAAATCAGTATTTGTTTTCGTTCTGCCCAAATCGTCATACTGATTGCAAATATCACCGATACTTGCCTCGAAGTCGGTGACACAAGCTTCAATATATGTCAATAAACTGATGAAAAATGACAAGAATAGAATCCAATTCAACCAAGTATTGCAGCCTGTCAAAGCTTGAGGTAATAAATTTATGTAAAATCCAATGGGAGTTTTATCATTTAGTATCACTCTGAAATTTGACATAATAAAAGAAAGGAAATTATTTCGAAGAAGTTTCAAGGTTCGATGAGTCTGAAAAAATGTGGTAAGAGACGGTAATGACATACTTTATATCGAGCGGCAGCATCCAAAGTTCAGGTTTAGGCACATGAAAAAGAACATAAGAAAGTGGCGGTAGCGTCGGAGGAATGAAGAGAAAACAAAAAGCCCACATGAACATTTTTATCATACGTTTTACTAGATCCGCACTTTTCATCTCTGCTTCTTGATAAAATTGATCGCAACTCGAAAATATCTCTCGACCTAAGAAGAATTGATGCCCACGGATGATTCATGAAAATGAAGAGGAATTCAAAGATTTTCTTTTACTTACGTTTATCAACAAGTTTTTGTAATTGATCGAAAATATTGATGAGTGACTTATTTTTTGCAATTAGTAAGAAATAAATTATTTGACTCTGTCCGCCACCAACTATTATGATTACTGCCACTGAACTTTTTGTTAAGTCCATATTTTTGTCAATGATATGCCAAAAAGCGAGTATAATAGACGTGCACATAGGAATAGAGTAAATCATTTGTATAATCCAAACTGGGACGGAAATTTTGGGATTCGATTCAAAAGTATGAACATTCTTTTCGGCATATAGCCCCAAGTTTTTCATTAATGCACGGCACTTATTCAACACTATTAACTCACTTGAGTTTGAATTTTCTGTATTTGGGTGCATTTTGGGAGATTATATTTTTAGTGAAGAGTGTTTCCCTTGAAATTCACCAATCTTAAGGAATGATTTCTAAAATCAAAATTTCAATATTAAGTCAAAATTAGTTCGACTGCCTCGACATAATCTTATTGACTGTCTCCGGTGAACTATAGTGACTGCCTTTAAACTAGTCCTTATATATAACAAAGTTTCAGTAAAATGGTTCTTTCTCTCATTACGCGCTGAACCCATCAATTTAAAACTTTCCGCTTAATTCTATGAATTTGACAAATTTTAAATTGATACGCTTCAGTTTCAACTACGTCTTAGACGTCGTCAACTCAGCATATATATTTTTAATTATGTAATAATCGGCTGTCACGATATTTGTGCTGATAATAACTAAAAATGAGGCTTTTAATGAAAATTCTGTGCTTAAAGTACATGTTGCTGTCCATTTACGTTTGACACTAGCAGTTGTAGATATTGATCTTATCAAGCCACAGCTTTTTTCAAAGATCAAAAAATTTCACTCGTTCTCTATAATTAGGTAATGAAAGAAATCAATGAAATTCGTAATGTTTTTTCATGGAATGATTTTTCATCGCAATGGAATTCAAACGTTTTTGGTAATAGTTTCAAAACTCTGATTAGAGGTTCGCATTGAAAACTTTTGCATCATGGCTTGATCAAACTTTTCTCCTATAAATTACCAATTAGATGATAATTGAAAAAAAAAAACTATTGTTGTTCGGAACAAGAACAACTGGCGTTTCTTGAATACGTCTTTCTGCGTTTCAAAAAATATTATTTAAATTGACGAAAAATAAGACGAAAACCTATGGGTGCTATTTCCCAAAATTAACCAATCAAACAAAATCAATCATACGTTTCGTTTTTCTTTAGAACGTTCATTTAATGGTTTTTATGGTTCTCGCTTTCACAATGGTCAATTTTGTGTAGAAAGAGATTTTTGAAATCGAAATATATTCAAATCACTTTCTTCGGAGTTTTTCCGTATCGATTTCTAATATTTGTATTTGCGCCATTTCTCAGGAGAATTTCAACAACTTCACTATGGTCTGAAAATATGGAGCAAAACAATATTGTCACGATGCAAATATTATCACACAAATCATGGCTATTGATGCATTGATTGAATAATATCGCACTTACTATACTCAGCAGCTCTATGATTCGGTATCGATCCTTCGTTGTCTTGGGCATTGACGTCCGCACCATGTTTGATGAGTGATTCAGTTATCTTTTTATGACCTGGAGATTAACGAGGTCAATTCAATTGATATACAAAACATTTGATTTTCAAATATATCCTATGGCATTTACCATAATATGCTGCTTTGCTTAGTGCCGCCCAACCATTCTGGTCTTTGATATTTACATTTGCACCATTCCTTATCAATATTTCAAGTATTCTTTCATGGCCTATAGAGTGATAATTTTTTTGGAAATAAAAATACGTTTGAAAAACATGACAATTCTCATCAAAGAGAAACTTATTATTCAACCATAATCAAAAAAAAATTACCATTGTCATTCCACGATTGTTCTTTACATTCACGTCCACATTATTTTCGATCAGCAGGTGATGATTTTCATGTCCTAGATAGCAAAGTAAAAATTGTTTTTTTAAAATTCGATTTTTGCTACCATAATATGGTAACCATATTCAGCATTTAAGACAAAAAAAGACATTCATGGACGGACAGCTCTTGATTTATTCGATCACCTAGATACGTTTACTTTATCACTAGAATACATTTATACAAACACTAGAATATGTTTATACAATCACCGGGATACGTTTACTCTATCACTGGATACTGGAATACGTTTACTCTATCACTGGAATACATTCATACAAACACTAAAATACATTTATGTTAATCACTAGAATACGTTTATGTAATCACTTAATACGTTTGAAATTTTTTACGAAATGAACATAGAAAAACAAAATTCATAGTCAGTAGTTGACCAGACAAAAGATCCATTCTGAATTTTCTCTAAAACAAAACGAAATTCTTCCGTTTCTTCCTGACTGACCGTAGATTGAGTCTAATACAAGCTTAACGAAAGTGGCGCCCCTACACAGTAAAAAATAAAAGTCCACATCTAGCCGTTTTTTCAGCTAAAAACGCATTCAGCCGATATTGCTGCTAGTAATTTGAGCTGCAGGCGAAATTCCGCTTATAATCTAGTCGGTTTTTTGTCTGAAACTCAATTTACTAGGCAAAATATAAGACTGGGCGCCTCTACCAGTCGAAAATCCGCCTAAGTGTGGACTTTTATTTTTTACTGTGTAAAAACGCATCTGATTTGCATTGTACATGCAAGCGGTGAAAGTTCGAACTAACAAATTACAACAACAAATACTACTGACAGGAGGCTCAACTCTCGTGACTGACTGTGAGAATAAACTGCTGGGTTGGTACGTAAGAAACATGACGGTGTATCTGACATCAAAGTTACGTATATTACATCATGTTATTTACCTATGAAAAATAATGTGATTTTCATGAATTTGTAAGAAACCTGTAAGAAACTCTGAAGAATAATTTTTTTCATAAAGAACTAATGCAAAAAACAAAAGATTTTCAATTGGAATTGAAGAAAATTTGTATTCTATTTTAGTTTTGTTCTTTCGTTATGTAAAAAATTAATTCTGATTATGAACAAAAAGTTCTTCATGTAATTATTTCATTATGTAATCAACGTTTTCAATCGTCTTCTATCAACTATTTATGGAAATATTCTGCAAGATATGAGGCAAGAAGGGAGGTTATGTTGTAATCATGTCAAAATGGATAAAATGCATTACAAACACATAACCACACTTCATTGAAATGAATGAGACTTTGATGTGAAATAAAAAATGTTGTGTACAATGTTTGGAGCAGATTTTTTGTGTTTGAATTATTTTTGTGCAAAATTAGCAGTATACAAAAAATCTGATATGAAGATTGAGCGAAAAATGAAGAAAATTTTTTTCTTGTTATCGGCGAGCAGATATTGTGATGTGTATCAAATGAAGATAAAACAAATTGATATTTTGAATATTGGCATCAATGTGCACCTACAATTCCATTATCTGACATGAAGCTTGTATTTATAGTACTTTGTTCAACAGCACTTGGTCTATTACTTCATCCATCAGAATGTCGAATAATATTAGAAACAATAGCTGTTCTTTCTACTATATCAACGAAATACATCTATATAGTTGAAATTAAACTATTGGCAGTTGAATGTGCTCGAATAACACCTGTTGTTCAGAACAAATGTTCTCAGTTTTGAATAGCACCACAATCATCGTGCTTGGTCAATTCAAAATCAGAATTGATTGTATTGTACAATTTGTATTGCAATAATTCGCTGAAAACTAATTTACATGCATCATGCAATTACAATTCCCATTCTAAATCTATGAAAATATTAACGTTTCTCAGGAAAAAAAATGATAAAGATGACAGTCATCTTTTTTGAAAAAATTGTCATCTTTTTTCCTCCTCTCCAAGATGAAAATCATCTTTTTTCGCAGATTTGATCTGGGACCATTAAGCATAACGGTTGTTGTGTTATGTTGTTACTGTTTTTATGCGTTTTGGACACACTGCTATTTATTCCAACAGTTACGTTTGTTGGATGATGAGAATTGTGAACAAAGTTTTTTTTTCGTTATGTGTATTATTAGAAATTTAACTCAATATGTTATGGATATGATAGAAAATGTTGTTTATTTTGCAATAGTTCACAATTTGCCGTCACATATTCTTTTTTGAATGTGACTCTTTCTACGTACGAGTGCTCAAGTCAATTTGCTTGTGATACTCATTTTGGCCATTTTAAAATCCAAAAGTGAATTTTTGATGATTTTGAAATAGTTTAAGGAAGTCTTTTGACTATTTTTTTGTTTTCTACCTGAATTTAAATGGTGACAATTTCAATAATTGTGACATGAAATCATTTTTTTTCGCATTGCACCCTTAGCTTCTGATGAAAATCAACAGAAATGCTTTTGTCATTGATATCAAAGAGAGAATAAAAGCCAAAGTGGTTCATGGTAATTGCTCAATTATTCGAAATTCGGTGTCCATCGAGGCAAACTGAATGTGCCCAATAGAAATAGGAGAGAGGGTTTTTTTGAACATATAATTACACTTTATACAGTGGTTTGATATTGATATTGATAATAATCACTCCAACTGAGTCTAGAATTTTCTATGATTGCTTGCTCTTTTCAAAGACGAATATGTAGAAAGTTTCGAGAAAACAATTTCTCAAATTGTTCAAGCTAATTTCATGACATAGCAAGTGGGTATAGTTTGGGCAAAAACAAAATTCTGCAGCAAACCAAATTACCTTTTTAACAATGGAAATGCGTGACTCATTAATATTTTCCTTGGTAGAAACAAAAATAACTAATTGCTTCTTTACTCTCAACGTCATTCTTGAAATGTTTGATATAAATACAGAGCCAGAAGTGTAAGATATTCAGTGCGATTTGAAATTTTTCGTTAAATCCTTCTCTCTAAAAACTATATTTAAGAAAGAATGGATCATAGCCGAAAATTCGAAGTGCTGGAAGGGTTGAAAATTATCCTGAAATTTGTTGAAATTTATCCAGCCAATTGGATTTTTCGAAATATTCGAATTTTAGTTCCGGTTGTATTTCGTCCATTTCTCGCATCACTTCTTTTATTCAAAATTACAACCATATGGTTGTGCTTTTCATTTAAATGGGATTTGAACTTGATTTCGGGCCCATTGTGCTTTTTTTTTGCAACAATTCAAATTTTGATCATTTAAATTATAATAATGCAGTCAAAATCGATTGTCGTTGAATCAACATATTTGCTACAAGAACTTGTACAACAACGTAAGTTTCTAACTTTTCTTGAATTCGATTGAAAACTTGGAAAAATATTCTACAGAAAAAAAAAACAATTTTGTATGAACAAATATTTTGATAAAAATGAATAAATTAAAAACAAAACTTGTCTATCATTGGCAGGTTGTGCTAAATCATTGCAAGCATATGAAATTTACAAGAAGAATGAACTGAACAATATGAAACTAATCAAAATGATTTGCTGGTTTATGATATTTGTAACGGTTGCCTTGTGTGTAACGACTGGCCTGATGCCAATAGCTTACTTAATATTCGGATTTCCACTTCCTGCAGATTGGATGATGGCCTTGCCGACAAAGTTGGTTCATCTTTTCGAAGCAGCTGATGCATTCTAATAACATTTGATAAATACGAAGTTCGATTCCTAAAATTTAAACTTTTTTTCAGATCATTTTTCAATATTCAAACATTTTCTGGTTTTTACGCCACATTGTTGCTACATTTTGTCACGAGCCTTTCTTATTTTACAATTTATGCACTGATGCCTGTTTTGCAAATTGGCTTTTGTACCTACATGAAGGCGTGTGTTGTCGATTTTAGGATCATTATGAAAGATGTGGACGAACATGTTAGAAGCAATCATGGCGAAAATGACTTTCGAAAGAGTGATCCTTATATTCGAAGCTCTTTCACAGATGCTGTTAAATTGCACGTCGAAATGCTGCGGTGAGTACTGGATACCTGTAGGAGAAAGAAATTTTCCGGAATCATTTATTTAAAAGACACATTTTTGCTTAGAATCGCCGAAAATATCCGAAGTGTGCTCGAAGGCCCTCTATTCTTTCAGCTTATGGGCTTCGTGGCATTTATTACATTTGCGTTACTATACATGGATCAAAGTATGGAAAGAATTGATTTCAATATGGTCATGGCCATGAGCTGCTTCAACACTCAGTGTTTGTTGAATTTCATTGCTTGCTACTACGCTGACCATCTTGAAGAGGATTTGATGGAAATAAAAGATGTTACTTACAACTTGCTTTGGTATAAAATTGCTTACGGTGACCGTGAGTTTGTACCCTGGATCATTTGGCGCGCACAAAAACCAGTACGATTCTCTGGATTCGCCATTATTGATTGCTCGTTGGCCACTTTTATGAAGCTATTTCGTTCCGCAGGATCTTACTACCTGATCCTTCGCCAGATGGCAAAATAGTACTTTAAACAACAGAGCTTCTAAACCCTTTCAACGTGTCAAAAACAGGAATTTCATGTGTACTTTCCAATCGAGAAGGATGGGAGAAAGACAAAAAATGATTTTTTAATTGTTTAGTGAAATCCAATGAATATTAATATTGTGTTTATCGAATTGAACTAAAGTAAAAACAAATTAAAACACATTCCATATATATTGTTTGTCGGAGATTTCGTCACCATTGCGTTTATTTTCACAGTGAGAGTACCGAATGTGATTCGGCATATCTGGGAAACAATCCAAGACTCTTTGACGCCTGCTAAAATTGACAAGCTTGAACTTTCAACGTTTTTAAATTAAATACCGTTTAAATTAAACGTTCCTTTTTGCGCCCGAATGTTGATTATAACGTGAAAGCGAACAGAATTCGTTAGGTTTTCTTTAGTCTTCTGCATCATTCATTCAAAGTAATCGAAACAAGCTCACGATCGTTCGTTATCTCGTATCCCGAGAAATTGATAATAATGAAAGCATCAATTCATCGCATAGCTCTGGTTAATTAACTGAAAAAAATGAACGAGCATTAAAACGCTATAAAAACAGTTACGAGTGAGGTGATGCTCCAATTTGTAATTGATCGCTGAAAAGCGTACGTTTGATTTTTTGGCCAGTTCGCATTTGATTAGTTCGTAATTTTTCTGTAAAATAAACAGTAAACTATGGCCTTGGAAGTGATGTCGAAACTCGCGTTTTACGCTTCTCACGTCATCAAAGGACTGTTTGAGATTGCCGTGGGAACAGAAGAGTTCATATACGATGACAAAGGCAACGTCATCTCAAAATTACCATCGAAACGCAAACAAGTTTGGGTCTTCGCCAAGAATTTTCTCAAGGAACCGGTGAGTTTTTTCTATACTTGAATTTAAAATCAAAAGTGACATAAACATTTAAAAAAAAATCAGAACTTGATTTTGAATGTGAACGAGTTGTGTTCTGTAGCATAACAATTTTCATAAATAAAATGTAAAATTACACTGTGGAACTTATTAAACCTTTTTCAATTTTGGCAGGTGATGTTGGGCTCGGCATTTCCAAGCTCTCAATTTACAACTGAAAAACTTTTGGCACCTATCGATTTTGAGAATGCAAAAGTGATCGTCGAATACGGAGCTGGCGTTGGCAATATTTCTATTGAAATTCTGCGAAGAATGCGCAAAGATGCAAAGCTCTTGGTGTTCGAGATAAATGAGGATTTGATTGAATTTCTGAAAAATGAGTACGATGATGAGCGTTTCATTGCCTCAGGCCGTTCAGCCGCTGATGTCGAAGAAGTGCTATGTGAACACAACCTGGACCAACCAGACTATATCATCTCAGGCATTCCATTCTCAACGATGCCACCGATGATTGCCAAATCCATCATGAAAGCCACCAAATCTGTTTTAAAACCCGGTGGCAAATTTTTGGTTTATCAGTTCCGTAACAATGTCCTTGAGTTCTTGAAGCCAAACTTCAAACACATTGATCGCAATTATGAAATCGTCAATTTGCCACCAATGCGACTATTTTATGCGTACAATTAGGTCAAGCGGGTCTTGCTTTTAGCGAGAAGAATAATCTCATAATCAGAATTTAATATTTGTTAAGTAAGCCAAATAAATCGAATTGCACATTGAAAGGAAAACTAATTCTTTGCATTTTAATGTCACCAGATTAAGAAAAACCGCGATAAAAAGGGATGGAATAAAAAAATCCAGTTTCATCAGCCTATGAATGACAGCACACAGCAATCAATGCACGATTTTCCAAAAAACATTGTGATATTTTTTCAATTGCTTCATATTTTTTTACTTCGACTTTTACTGAGCTCAAAAATTACTTTCATCAACAGAAAAAATCCCAGTCTTTATCACAAAATTTCGAAAAATTGTCTACGAAAACAAAACGAGCGACTCTTTGGCCTGCTCGAAATCAGGCGATTGAACAATGACACACATAAAATAGTATCGCGTCGACACGCGAGTAAAAAAACAATTTTTGAATTTTGATATTTTTTCTGTGGCGTTTCATTTTTTTCATTATCAAGTGAACTCGCGATTTTTTCTTCGCAGTAATTAATGAAAAAATTGCCAACTTTATCGCAGAATTGTGAAAAAAATAACTCAAACACAACCAACAAAGCCGTTCAAAAAATAGTCGATTATTTAGACGAGAGACGTGAATTGACATGAATAATATGTTGTGTGTCACTTCACGAAATCGCTTTCATTTGCGTATCAACTTGTTGCATCAATCACTCAAAAACGAATGAACGATTTAAGTTTGAATATTAAAACTACAAAATCGGTTTAAATGTCGAAGACAATTCAAAATAAGCTAAGCACTGTACTCGACATCAAGAGTTTATTGTTGTCACGTCACTCGAGCTTTAATCTGTATTTCAAAACACAATGAAGACTGTGACGTTTAAGTAATAACGCGATTGTCTTATGTCATACTCAGAACGTGAAATGAAGACTAATGATCACATGTTTTAATTGTTTGTAGTAAGATTTTCTGCAAAATAATCAGTGATAATAATGTGGACGAATACACAAACAATGTGGAGAGTAGTTCCATCGAACGACAAACAGCAGATGTTTCTATGGTGTGATTAGGAAATAAGTTTGAAATTGTCTTCACATTTAATTCATTGATAATTTTCAGACGCTTTAGAATTCGTATGCGCACACATCGAATTTTGCTTTACGGGACTCCCATTTTTTACTCAGTCGCTTTTGATTTACATAAAAAAAACTTTCATTGATAACGATAGTGAATCGCTTTGTTTATGTTTTCTCAGCAAAATTCATTGCAATTAGTCGAAACAATTTAATTTGATTGAATAATTTAAAAATACTAATTGAAATATGTTTTTTGTTATATCCCAAGTAATCGTATGAAATAAGGTTTTGTGCGAGAAGTAAATCTGTCTATTAGAATTAAATCTGAGTCGTTTGCTATTTCATTTGAAACGATAGTGTTAAGATTGATTAAGATTAAATAACAAAAACGGTTTTCTCATACACGCTTTATTTAATTGAACGCGTTATTAATAGGATTTGAATCAAAATCAAAAAGTGAAATCAGCGGCTGTTGCGTCTGAATATTGAAGAGTATCTATCGGAACAAAACGGAATATGAATGATTTGAAAGTTTTGTGCTGTCGTTAAATCTTATTTTCTTCGTTTGAATTGATCAAAATACACTTGCGATCATCCGTAGTTTCGCAATGCGACCGATCTTACGCGAAATCGTCAATTCATTGTGCGACTCAAAATTTTGCTTAACCGACTAGAAAAAATGGAGCTGATTAAAAAATGTATTTTTTTCTGCGTCATCAACATACGCTATAAAAACGGTTGTAAGTGAAGCAAGGCTCCAATTTAAATCTGACCGTTGAAAAGTACGCGCGAAACATATTTCGATCAAGAACTCTGTGTGAATTATTTTAGCTGAAAACTGGAGAGTGCTGATAAAATATTTCAAATGAAAAATGGCTTTGGAAGTGATGTTGAAATTCGCGTTTTACGCTTTTCACGTTATCAAAGGACTGTTCGAGATTGCCGTGGGAACAGAAGAGTTCATTTACGATGACAAAGGCAACGTAATCGCGAAATTACCATCCAAACGCAAACAAGTTTTGGTATTCGCAAAGAATTTTCTCAAAGAACCGGTAAGTTTCAATCAATTTTTTGGAGGATAATTTAAATACGTTTGATTAAAAAGTTTCAAGTTTCGAATTCAGAAGTGAACTCCATTCAAAATCGATTTTTCGATTTTTCGAAATGAAACCCTTTTCATTCAGTTTTTATGAAACATCAATTATTTTTCATTGACAGGTAATGTTGGGCGCGATCTTTCCTAGTTCACAATTCGTGGTGGAGAAAGTATTGGCCCCAATTGACTTTGAGAATGCAAAAGTGATCGTCGAATACGGAGCTGGTGTCGGTAATATATCTATTGAAATTCTGCGAAGAATGCGCAAAGATGCAAAGCTCTTGGTGTTCGAGATAAATGAGGATTTGATCGCTTTCTTGAAAAATGAGTATCACGACGAGCGTCTTATTGCCTCCGGTCGTTCGGCTGCCGATGTCGAAGAGGTGCTACGTGAACACAATTTGGGCCAACCCGACTACATTATCTCGAGCATTCCGTTCTCTACGATGCCACCAAAGGTTGCCAACGAAATCGCCAAAGCCACCAAATCCATTTTGAAACCCGGAGGAAAGTTTTTGGTGTATCAATACAGATCCAAAATCTTGGACTTTTTGAAACCATACTTCAAACACATCGATCGCA